GCATCTTCTCCCCGTGATCGCGTGGATTTTCTCCGGGTCCTCCGGTTTTTCCCTCCACAATTATAATCAACATCACGCGTTTAGAGTATTTGGCTGCTAAATGTTTCCACACGACGATAAGCCCACTTCGTTAAGCTCTCATTTGTGAAAGCCAGGTCACTTCTGGAAAAGAGCTGCATAGCGCAGTGGACCTTACCTGGTAAAAATAAAAAAATATATTTAAGTTGTATAGTTTAGATGTAACTGTGTTTCAGCAGGAGAACCCAGCAAGCCAAGGTTGAAAATGGGCATCGCGCGAGGGACAGCCGACGAGAAACCCAAGACAGAGATGTCGGCCAGGGCTGGGGTCAGGCGTAGGGTCAGGGTTAGGGTCAGCCTGGGAATGGGGAGCACTCACAACAACTTAATTGGGGCACAGCGTGGGCTACACTAGACACGTGAATGTCGTGTGAAGTGGGGGTGCAGCCACTGTGGACGCAGTGGGGGCCTGAACACCCCCCCCCCCCCAGTAAGTTTAGAGACGGCTGAAAAAGGCACCCACAACGTTTTGGACAACAATCTTATAGGGGTTTTTTTCGCCCGAATATTTCTCTATTCGGCAAGGCGACAAATATGTTGCATTAAGGTCTACGGATGAAATGCGCCTTACAAATGTAAATTATTATTGTTACATATCTGGCGGCAGGGTGGTGACGCTGGTGCCTCGCGGAAAGAAGGGTCTGTGTTCGATTCCCGACTTGAGCGCCTCTCTGTGCAGAGTTTGTATTTTTGTCCACTTGTTCCGTAGAGTGCGAGTGAGTGTATGTGAGTGAATGAGAGTGAGTGAGTGGGGCTTGTGTGTTATCTCTCTGTACTAGTTCTGCATGGGTTTCCTCCCTGGGTAAAGCAAGCAGAATGATAGAGTGAATCAAATACTGATTATGCCGATGAGCAGGGTGTAATCTGATCAGAGGATGGGGGAATTTCCCTGGCAATTATGTTTTTGTCATCCCTGGGACTCATTTTCAGTTCTCATCCCTGGGGGGAGAGGGATGACGGGGTGTGGGGCACGCAGGACATGTGTCATCCTAGGAAAAGAATGTTGGATGTACCATTTGTGCCATGCTAGGGTCGGGCCAGGTTAGTATTGGAACGGGAGACTGCTTGGGATTGGCCGGTTTGTGTAGGGTGGTGGCTGCGAGGTGGCCATGAGATGGAAGTACAGCGAACGATTCCTGCGTCTGTCTATGTGAAGCTGGGACCTGCATCCGGAACTGCAGAGAGAGAAGCTGTGAACAGGCGGTGCGAAACGTCGGACACAATTCCGAACCACGCTCGGCACAACCCGAAAACACATCGCATAGCCAGACAGGGCAACCGTGAAAACCTACCCTGCAATAGTACACTGAGCACACAGTGACGCTGGGAACTAGCCGTCGGTCTGACTGGACGACGCATGTGATTAAATCTCACGTCTTCTCATGAAGTCAACACGAAAGACCGTAATCTCATTTGAATCCGCGGCTTCGGCTCTGGAACGCGTTGTTCGCCGGTTTCCGGGAACCTGGTTTTCACACAGCTGGACGGAACAACAGCCACAAGACGGAAAAACATGTGGCGCAGTGACAAGAACAAAAACCCGTTACGTTTTTTTTAATCTATTGCTGTTTCGTTCAGGGCCATCTATTCGATTGGAAACCGTTTGGGAAAATGAAAGGGCAGATAGACATTCACTATGATCAGTTTAACACGGAGTAGTTTTTCGTGACAAATATCTGTCCATAATAAAGGGTTAATAAGGTTCGATCGAGTAAATATAATGTGCCGTTAACCCCGCCACCACCCGACGCAGCCAATTAGTAAAGTTTGTCACAAACAAAACGTGCCAATTAGTTACAACTTCATCACACCGGTGTGTTGGACAATAAACCCACAACACTTACAATTTGAGTACGACACACTGGTGTGCTGCAGTAGTAACTAATTGGCACGTTTTGTTAACGTGTCAAACCTTATTAATTAGCTGAGTCGGGTGGTTGCGGGTTTAGCGGCACATTTATATTTAGACGAACTAACCCAATACACTTTTATGGATTCACTATGATGATGGTCATCAGTCATAGTGCTGTCGGAATCTCCAAGCCGTTGCCATCTCTGATCGTCCTGCGATGCAAGAGTCCAACCGGCACTCGCCCACCAGCTGATCCCAGCGCTCCACCGACACAACGGACGTCCGCTTGGGGAAGTTCCCTCCTTTGGCTGTCACTCCATCGTTTGTCTCGACCACCATCCCTTCTAGGCACGAGTCCTGCCCAACTCGACCTTCCCGAGCCGTGAACATGAGGTCTCCAATTTGCACATCTTCTCTTATCCAGCTACAGTCCAGCTTTGTTTGCTTCCTGTCTACCGATATAATTCCATGCGTACGCCTCTCCATGCTTGTGTGCACTGTTCAGATTTTGTTCCCGTTTTCATTGGCCATCGCCCGTGTTTCTGTTCCGTACATCACAGCGGGTAATCAATAATTATTTTGGGGGGTGATTTAACATCAGGTCCATCTGTCCGGCTGGATAAAGATGATTATTGTTTGCATCATTAGACCTCCTTTGCCAGTACCAAAATATAAGAATAGGGCTTTTCCCCTTTAGTACGCCTTTTGGCGTCATCTGGTCGAGCACCAATTGGGTCGAGGCTCAAAAGAAAGCCGTCCCTTGGTGTGGACCAATCAGTTTCAAGGACAATGCATATATTATCATAGTATGTTTTTTGTTTGCATTTTGACTGCAGGTATTGTGGTTAATGCAGACATGAATCCTTGTAAATAGGTTTCAGTTTTGTTGCCAGAAAAAAGGGGAAAAACCCTATTCTTATTATTGTTGTTATAAACACACTTCAATGACTGTCATCAGGCACAACCAGTATGGGGCATTTTACGACTCGTGACCGATCGCTATTGGGCTGGGTCTAAATGCAGCCTCAGCATAGGACCGAGCGTCTGGCTCTTGAGCCTCGGGCATTCCCACGGAGTGTTTGGAATGATCGGAATTCCAAGTGGCCCGCCTGGTGGATGCTCCAAGCAGCTGCCAGGCAGGGTTAGGGGTCGTGAGCTTGGATATCGGTGAGACGGGCCCCACTCCAAGCCGTCTTCTAACCCTGCTCATAGCCACGTGGTGATGTAATATAACCACCTGTTCCATTCGGTTATGGAATTATTGGGAGATAGGGTGGTGCAGTGGCTACACTCGTGGTAGGGTGGTGCAGTGGCTACACTCGTGGTAGGGTGGTGCAGTGGCTACACTCGTGGTAGGGTGGTGCAGTGGCTACACTCGTGGTAGGATGGTGCAGTGGCTACACTCGTGGTAGGGTGGTGCAGTGGCTACACTCGTGGTAGGGTGGTGCAGTGGCTACACTCGTGGTAGGGTGGTGCAGTGGCTACACTCGTGGTAGGGTGGTGCAGTGGCTACACTCGTGGTAGGGTGGTGCAGTGGCTACACTCGTGCCTCGCAGGGAAAAGGGCCTGGAAACAATTCCTGACTCGGGTGACTTTTTTACGTGAAGTTTGTTCTCCCCGTGCTGCGTGGGGTTTCTCCAATCGCAAAAAAATACAACCTTACTATGTAACTGGTAGTGATCCAAACATCCCAATGCTGACAAATAACATTGCAAATTACTCAATTGGTATTACAGGTAACAGCATTGTTCCACAACAAAAACGTGGCATGAGCCACCTGAAAAAGGGTCTTGAGACTCGGTGAGGCTTTGCTGGGGTAAAACAAGCGCTACAATAACAACAAATCCAGTGTGCGTTGAAAATAAATTTCCATAAAAACGCGTCGGAGTTAAACGCTCAACCGTAATGCAAAAAACTCGGGGTGAGCATCGCACTGAATGATGACTATCCAGTCGACTTTGCCCCCATCACATTTTGTACATTTGATCGATTGGTCTCCTGGCTTGAGTGAAACGTTGGGATTGTGCTCTGGGATGTTGAGACCTCGTGGACTCATTTCTCTGCTGTGATAATGTTTGTTGTTGTTGTTGGTGTTTGTGCTGCTTTTGTTTTGGTGCTATTTTTTTGTTAATTAATTTTGAATTTTCTGAGGGTTTTCATTTGCTTGGTAGTTGCTATCAATAGAATTCGGCCCTTTATATATAATTAATACACAGCGTTGTGGGATGCAATTATCATGAATGATGCCATGTAAAATTTAATTATTGTATACGTATTCAGTACAACGCTTTCTCAATCCACTGCTGGATGAGGGCCTCTCCACGCCTTGTTTTTTCGTGGGGAGTTATCTTACAATACTTCACCACGCTGGTAAATCTGGGTTGGTGGAGGCGAGGGGGCATACACGTGGGAGCATAAAAGTTCAGTAGAATAATTTTAGAATGTTTGCATTGCCCTCTGCTGTCCAAATCGTAGTCCAGGGACGAAAGCCTATAACACCTGTTTCTATGCATGGCAAAAGGACAAAGATCCCCCGTATAGCTATAACAGGCTGCTGGGGCAAGTGCTGTTAGCGAGTAGCACCTATGAAGGCTGGCACGGCACACGAGGGGGTGGTGGCCAGTACCACGCACGGCCCCCTTTGTCTCCCCAGTGTCGATATTTACACACCGCATAAGGTACTCATTTGAGGCTAAGCCGATCTAGGGGAGGCCCAGGACCGGTTCAAATAATCGTCACTTGTTGGTTGCCGTGAGCAGGAATCGAACTCGGGTGAACCGGGTTCATAGCGCAGTGCGCCAACCGCTAGACCTCCGCTCCCACCTTATGCATGGCGGTCACCAATACCCAACTATTTTTATTTTACCAGATAAAGCCCACTGAGCTATATAGCTCTTTTTTCAGAAGCGACCTGGCCTAAAATGATAGTTCAACGAAGTGGCTTATGTAGAAATTTATAGCAGACAAATACTCTCAACGCATGTTTCGAAGTGTGGAGGGAAAAACCGGAGGACCGTGAGAAAAATCCACACGACCACGGGGAGAGAGACATGCAAACTCCAAATATACAGGCGTCAGGGTCGAGATCGAACCCACGGCCTCCTGTATACCAGCCGAGGTAGTTAACATCACCACCGTGGCACCGTATACAAGCACGATCAAGGCTCAAACCCCCATCAGCTTCTGAAATCCGACGAGATTCCGTGTGACTGGGATGCCTGGGCACCTCGCACGAACTGCGCATTCATTCGTCGCCACATTTGCGGGTAACGGAACACGGCAGGTGACGAGGCGGGGAGAGGGAGTTGAGGCGGCCGCCTTGGGGTCGCGCTCGGCCGCGTCGGTGGCACGGCGGCCCCCTAAAGATGGAAAGGAATTCATGGGCAGCGGTTGACGGACTCCGCTCGGGGCAGGGGCGAGGCAGATGTCGCGGCGGATCGCGGTGCCGCCCGAGCGCAAGGAACTCGCCACATTCCCAGCAGCAGCAGCTCCTGCGAACACGCGCGACTGTCGTGGATCGAGACTGCCCGCTCGCACTGCTGACTGTTTCATCATTCATCGACGCTTTCGTTATTGTCTTACGAGTACTGCAGTTCCGTTTCGCGGAACGGTAATTGAAAGTCGTGCAGTGCTGTATTCTCTGGATTATAAGACGCGCCCCCTCAAACTTGTGCCCGGTGTCAATAAAGTTATCCAACTCTGGTTCCACACACGAACATACGCAGAGACGGGCACCACTTCCAATGACATTTCTCTCCGCAGCAGATTCAGCGTTGACGTTGTCTCTTCACAGTTGGGCTAAAGTGACCGGTGTGTGAACAACAAACAAACAAAAAGGGACGTTTTAGTCATTGTTGGACGAAGCTCGGACCATTAACTTGCTCCTCTTAAAACACCAAAATAACCAACAGACGGCCAAGGCCAAAAAATCCCAAATCACAACTCGGCATCTCAGCAAGCGGCGTCCGCTTTACGGTGCGCCGAAACCCCATCGCGACGCCCCACGTGAGCTGGTAACTACATCCAGCATCATCGGTGCCCCACGTGAGCTGGTAACTACATCCAGCATCATCGGTGCCTCACGTGAGCTGGTAACTACATCCAACATCATCGGTGCTCCACGTGAGCTGGTAACTACATCCAGCATCATCGGTGCCCCACGTGATCTGGTAACTACATCCAGCATCATCGGTGCCCCACGTGAGCTGGTAATTACATCCAGCATCATCGGCGCCCCACGTGAGCTGGTAACTACATCCAGCATCATCGGTGCCCCACGTGAGCTGGTAACTACATCCAGCATCATCAGTGCCCCACGTGAGCTGGTAATGACATCCAGCATCATCAGTGCTCCACGTGAGCTGGTAACTACATCCAGCATCATCGGTGCCCCACGTGAGCTGGTAACTACATCCAGCATCATCGGTACCCCACGTGAGCTGGTAACTACATCCAGCATCATCGGTGCCTCACGTGAGCTGGTAACTACATCCAACATCATCGGTGCTCCACGTGAGCTGGTAACTACATCCAGCATCATCGGTGCCCCACGTGAGCTGGTAACTACATCCAGCATCATCGGTGCCCCACGTGAGCTGGTAATTACATCCAGCATCATCGGCGCCCCACGTGAGCTGGTAACTACATCCAGCATCATCGGTGCCCCACGTGAGCTGGTAACTACATCCAGCATCATCAGTGCCCCACGTGAGCTGGTAATGACATCCAGCATCATCAGTGCTCCACGTGAGCTGGTAACTACATCCAGCATCATCGGTGCCCCACGTGAGCTGGTAACTACATCCAGCATCATCGGTACCCCACGTGAGCTGGTAACTACATCCAGCATCATCGGTGCCCCACGTGAGCTGGTAACTACATCCAGCATCATCGGTGCCTCACGTGAGCTGGTAACTACATCCAACATCATCGGTGCTCCACGTGAGCTGGTAACTACATCCAGCATCATCGGTGCCCCACGTGATCTGGTAACTACATCCAGCATCATCGGTGCCCCATGTGAGCTGGTAACTACATCCAGCATCATCGGTGCCCCACGTGAGCTGGTAATTACATCGAGCATCATCGGTGCCCCACGTGATCTGGTAATTACATCCAGCATCATCGGTGCCCCACGTGAGCTGGTAACTACATCCAGCATCATCGGTGCCCCACGTGAGCTGGTAACTACATCCAGCATCATCGGTGCCCCACGTGAGCTGGTAATGACATCCAGCATCATCAGTGCTCCACGTGAGCTGGTAACTACATCCAGCATCATCGGTGCCCCACGTGAGCTGGTAACTACATCCAGCATCATCGGTGCCCCACGTGAGCTGGTAATCACATCCAGCATCATCGGTGCTCCACGTGAGCTGGTAACTACATCCAGCATCATCGGTGCCCAACGTGATCTGGTAACTACATCCAGCATCATCGGTGCCCCACGTGATCTGGTAACTACATCGAGCATCATCGGTGCCCCACGTGAGCTGGTAACTACATCCAGCATCATCGGTGCCCCACGTGAGCTGGTAATCACATCCAGCATCATCGGTGCTCCACGTGAGCTGGTAACTACATCCAGCATCATCGGTGCCCCACGTGAGCTGGTAATCACATCCAGCATCATCGGTGCTCCACGTGAGCTGGTAACTACATCCAGCATTATCGGGACGTAATTACCAGCGAAACGTCACGGTACTCAAATTGTAAATGTTGCGGATTTACTCTGCAACACACCAGTGGGCTGAAGCAGTAACGAATTGGCCACGTGTTGTTGACGTGACAAACCTTCCTGGTTGGCTGTGTCGGGTGGTGGTGGGTTAACAACGCGTTTATACTGAACACGATATAACCCACATATTAAAAAAAAACATGATTATGAATAATATACGTCTCAATTACGATTTGAACTCTGCCCAGCAAGTTTGTTTTTACTCGCTGCACAACAGCATCTTTGAACAAACGGCACAAGCCAGACGCGAGGGCAGGTCATGGGGTCAATGAAACCCCGCAATTCGATTTCTCAAGCACCTGGACATTGACGCCGGGGTAGTTGGGGGGGTACCAGATGTGTCTAAAGAAACAGGCGCACTTCCAAAATCCGCGGGGTAAACAACTTCGCTTAATCCACCAAGTCTGGGCTCCATTACAGACGCAATCGGCGCTAATCAAGCTGAACGGATTCACGCGATTTGAGAAACTGGAGCGGCGGAATTGAATTCGCGCCGGTAAGAGAAGAGTGGAACATTGTGAAATCAAGTTGCGCTTTTGTGGGGGTGGTCGGGGGAGGTTTCTGTAACGTGGCCAAACAGGAAAGTCGTTATGGGATCTTTTTTCCAGTATCAACGTATGAAAAGATAGGAATAGGAATCACCCTTTCTGGAAAATAAAACAGGTGGCAAGCAAAATAAAACACACCAAATAAAAACCTTTGACAATGAATCAAGTTAGCAGTAACCACGCGTACTTGTGGTGAGCATGCAAGCAAACATGCTGACGCCTTTTGGCGTTCTCTGGTGTGACGCTGGAGAGACCCAGCATCGACACAAGTGTCTCAGGAGGATGACCTCGTCAAGACGCCAGGTTACAGTGGATCGTCGATGGCAAGAGACTAACTTTAAGATCACGTTTGGAAATTAAATCTAAACCTGCAGCTCTACCAGTAGAGGTGGAGCTAGATGAGTTACTTTCCGCCTTTTGGCGTTCTCTCGTCTGACACTGGTGAGACTAGGCCCTAAAAAAGACTATCTCTGGTGGAGACCAATCACTTTCAAAGACAATGCCATATATTATCAGAGTATGTTTGTTTGCATGTTCACCGCATGTACCATGTGTGCTTAATGCAGTACTTGATTCCTTGAAAAAGGTTGATATTTGGTGTTTTATTGCCAAAAAGGGTAAAACCTTCTTATTTTCAAACAGGGATGACGTTATTTCCTTTAAACGCTGCGCACATTTGGTTGAAAGCCCACCTGTTCGATCATTATCGGTCTCCAGTGATTTACGGACGCAGCATGAAGAGCTCTCCCACGTGTTTCGCTGTTGCGCCGCGTGTTGTTCGGCGTGTTGGGAGCGTATTCTCTAAACGGCACAAATTCAACGTGATCTCCCGTGGGAACCCGTCAGTCAGTCACTCAGTGGTGCTTCCCATCGTGTCAACAAAAACAAAAAACGACCCCAGAAGATATCGGATAACTACTTTTGAAGTCTCTTCAATAATCCTGTCTCACCCATTACTGCGACTTTGTAGCAAAACACAGAGCACATTGGTGCATCAGACTGGACGTTAAGCCGACAGCACAGCGATGGACCAGCACTCGATGCGGGGCGCTTGGTATTCCTCTCAAAGCAAAGAAACTATTTTTGGGCGTTAGGTGAGGAGGTCTCCGATCAGAAGCTTAAGTCTAAGGTCCAGATGAGAGAGAGCACAATGTTTACAGGTGGCAGACCTGGCCTGAGGGGGAGCTCATCAGGGCAATCAGCTGTCGGGAGCATTGAAACATTGCGCACGGGGGAAGACACACAAAGAAACGTGTTTTGCTTCGCACACAGGTTTTTGTAGCCACTACAATGATCCATATTTGTTTTTTGTTTTGGCACATGGCTAGTTTTCTGCCAAAGTTCCTGTCGTTATCCCTTCACCACTGACGAGATTGTCACATTAAATACATTATTTAGTTCATCACCTAAGGTCTTCGCGACCAATATTATCCAGACGTTTTTTTGGGTAAGATCGTGTAAATGTTGTGGGTTTACTCTTCCACACACCGGTGTGCTGTAGTAACTAATTGACACATTTTGTGTACGTGACTAACTTTACTTATTGGCTGTCACGTGGTGGCGGGTTTAACGACACATTTATATTCACGCGAGCTAACCCCTAAACAACCCCTCTATGATATTATTATTTATACGTGGCCAGATCTCCTCCTAACTGGTGGCTTTAAGACTCTTCACGATCGAATTCATAGTCAAACACATTTGTTCGTCAAGATTGCAACATAGGCCATGGCTGGCCCCGCAAGGCATTGTGGGGGCGATGTGGATAATTGTGTCCGAGAGTTGGAGTCCATTCGAACCGGCAAATTAATCCGATTGTCACCCAGTGCATCGTGGCGAGTTTGGAGAAACAACACAAACGGCATCGCTTCCTATGCTGTCTTCCAACAGAACAAGGCTCGTGTATTTTTGCCAGCTCCAGCGAGCCGGCTCCGAGCGCGATCCCAGCCATGCTCAGGATTTCCATGACGCCGAGGCCGAGCCGAGCCACTTTCCAGTGCATCTTTGAAAGCCACAGAGTGGCGCGAGCTGAGCGCAAGTGTTTGAGGCCCGACGCGTGAGACACTCACAGCAGGATATGACATCATCGTCTAAATCTATCGACACAGCCAGACATGCATGCATCGTGGTCTTGGCGACTGTTCATAAGTTGTGGCTCTATGGAAAAAAAAAACCTCTCTCTGCATGTGGATGGTATTGAAAGGGCGATTAAATCGGTTGATGGTGAATGAATTGAGTGGTGGCCAAGGCAGGAGTCAGCAGTGGGGTGGTAGGTAGGTGCGTTGCCTCGAAACCTAGGGGCAGCTGGGAGGTGGCCATCATTTTTTAATTAAATTGAAGAAAAATCTTGTTAATCATAAACACCAAAATTACGACTGAATATAGCAAAACTCTGCATTTATAAAAGTGAAAATTACTTTACACTTACATTGAAAACAATTCTGTAGAAAGACTACCGCGGGTTGTTTTGTATTCACACCTTAACCAAAGTAGTATTTTTTTGTAATCATATCCTTTGTTTCCAGCGGATGGCAGTGGTATCGCGCGATTGTAGTCCAGCGACGTGGAGGCAGGGTTGGTGGATCACACGAGTGTTGCGAAAGTCCCTTCCTGTGGGCGTCGAGGAGGAGCCGTACCCTGGATCTCCAGGAGAAGCTGGTCCAGCAAACAGGTTGACGCCACATGGTTTCGTCTGTACCGGATAGAGTGGTTTCCCCTCACACCCCTGGATTTTCTCCGGGTGCTCCGGTTTCCTCACACATGACAACATTGGCCAATAACACCTTAATACTGGGCTGGCCCAGGAGACGCTAGTGGGACGATGTCGCTCGGCTGGCCTGGGAACGCCTGGGAATTCCCCAGGAATAGCTAGAGCCTATCGCCAGGGAAAGGGAGGTCTGCACCGCCCTACTCAACATTCTGCAGCCGCGACCCTCACCAGGACAAGTGGATTGAGAAACGAACGAACGAGACACAGAGGGCAGCAGAGCTCGGGAAATTGTTGGCGCTTGCTCCTTGTGCCTCGAAGTCGTTCTCTCTCTACGAGAGTGAGCGAATAGCGGGCGTGGGTATTACGAGTTGAAATTAATTATATACAGAAACATTCACAAAACGTTGAATCGACAGCGAGTGCAAAGGGTAAAATATTTCACCATAAGGAAAATAAAAGTCTCGTACGCATTCATGCGCCATACAAATAAGTGCCACGATTGTGATCCTATACCTGGAGCAAAACTATTTCCCACAATTACACCACTACCACATCAAAATGATAAGTCTTAACAATTAACAACACAAAAGTAAGTTGCTGCTATTGAATGAATCCCCCTTATTAAAAAAACACCTGAGCTTGTATGCTGCCATGCCGGCATGCAGGAGCTGCCCGCAACTATTACGATATGCGCAGTATTTATTTGATGGCGTGATTCACATTTATCTTATCCCTCCCAACTGAAAGTCTCGAACCAGAATTCTGTCCCATCATGCAGGAACCCCACCCACCCTGCTAACCACCTCCAGCATGGCGCAACACACGTGGCAGTAGAGGCGAGACATTTTTGCCCTTCCAAAACCATTTGTGTGGTCAGATTATTTGAATAATTGATCCGATAACCGGCAGAGTAAATCGATCACCTGGGTAACTGGGTAGCGCAGCTCTCATAAATCGAGCAGCACTCTTTGAAAGTAAACAGTAGTTGCGTCTTCTGAAGAGCAAGGAATGTCCACTAATGACTTGGTCCCTTGTAAAGCCCCCAGCCCCCCACCCACCTGCACAGCCCGAGTTAAGACATGCATTCTCTCCCGACCTCCACTGCGCATAGCCTTGCGCTGCTGCTGTGGGTTAGGATTTTGGGTTCTGGGCTAGAGGTAAGGTTAACGTAGAAGGTTGCAGGGGGTTATGATTAGATCTTGAGTATTAATAATGCAGATAATTTTGGTTAGGCTGGTGAGTTTGGGTTAGGGTTATGGATTTAGATATGGAGTTATGGGATTTGTGTTATGGGTTAGGGTTATGGGATAAAGGTGTTGAGTCTGGTTAGACTCACGTTTTCGAGATTGGGGCTCAAGTTCTGCAGTTGGGCTGGTGGGTTTGGTTATGGTTAAGGATATCGGTGGCTCACGGCTTCGGTTAGAGAAGCCACAAGAGTCCACCGCAGGTTTTCCAGCCCTCAAGTGACAGCAAGCGCAGGTGGATTAATTTGATCGCTGGAATGCGCTGGCAGTGGTGTCGTCAGCGACGCTCTCTCCATCAGATGGGCGCGCACCGCCCACGCAGCTACACCAGGGATAACCGGGCTGGTGGGAGCCCAACACTGGTGCAGCAGCATCACCATCGTCGCCATCACAGTTTAACACGTAGGCTTTTCGAGACAAATATCTATAGTAAAGGTTTTTTTTTGGGTTAGATCGTGTAAATATAAATGTGTCATTAAAAATGCCACGATCCAACACAGCCAATTAGGAAGACCAAAACAGGAGTACTTTTTCACAATTCTGCCTAATCGCCTGATGAGACTAGTTGTAATGGCCAGCAAAACTTTGTACTCGAATTATAAATGTTGTGGGTTTACTCTCCAACACGCCGGTGTGCTGAAGCAGTAACTGATGGCACGATTTGTTAACTTGACAAACCTTACTAATTGGCTGTGTTAGGTGGTGGCGGGTTTCACGACACATTTATATTTACGTGATATAACCCCAAAAAACCTTTATGGTCGTCATCACAGTTTGCCTGAACAGTTATAAACGTCAATCAATGTTACTTCACACGTCGCGCGGGACTGGAAATAACCAGATGGGAGTTTTTAGTTTCCCCTCCAACTGAAGGCATCAAATGCCAATGGTTATGGTTTCAAGATTTGGGTTGTGGGGTTAGAGTTTATACTCTTTGGTTTTATTCGGTAAAGTCACGTAGGTAAAACAAATTAAAATAAAATAAACAATAAAATAAACAATTGTTTATTTTATTTTAATTCGTTTTACCTACGTGACTTTACCGAATAAAACCAAAGAGTATGAATCCTTGCAGTCACGAAAGCTTCAAATCTAGAAGGGGTTAGAGTTTGTAGATGAGGCTGTTAATAAGGGAACGTGGTTCAATAAGCAATGCAGATTAGACTTGAGGGAACAGAGATGGTTACATTTTAAGATGCTGCAGATGAGGCAATAGCTTAGCGGCTAAGGATTATAAGCAAAATAATCAAATTGGTGTTAGGTTACAGGTTAGATTTAGAGCGGTTAAGATTTGATTTAATTTTTTCCATTTCCACTGTCGAAATCGGTAACATTTTCTGACAACTTAAACTGCAAACACGTGCTTCCAATTACAACGTCAGTGCCTGTGTGCGCACACGTCTCATAATTGAGCAAGAACAAAATGTAAACGTGAAAATTGTGCACAATAGTTTCGCAAACTCTCAATGGTCCCCACTGTCAGAACGCAAACCACTGAACGGGGAACACAAGAACTCCAAAACCACGGCCTAAGAGAATCTGTTCCTGGATTTCTAAACAAAACTATTTTTTATTTTACAAGGCAAGGCCCCACTGAGCTATATAGCTCTTTTCAGAAGCGAACTGGCTATCACAAACTATAATTAAGCGAAGTTGCTTATCATGTGAAAATCTATAGCAGCCAAATATTCTAAATCTATGTTTATAAATTTGGAGGTAAAAACCGGAGGACCTGGAGAAAAATCCACGCGACCACGGGGAGAACATCCAAACTCCAAATATACAGGCGTCAGGGTTGGGATCGAACCCATGACCTCCTGCATACCAAGCGAGGTAGTTAACATCTCGTCACCGTGGCACTCACAGTGGCGGGATGTTAACTACACATCTCCAACAGCCAGTTGTGGCCAAACCCAGCCAACTGACTTTTACCGAACATAACTGACTGCTGGGAAATGTGCAAACTCAGTACAGGACAAGGCTCTCTGTGGGAATACGAGTGCTGGTTTCTGTCGACGGTGCGGGTGCCGCTCATCACAGGGGCTTGTTTGCGATGAACGACTGGAACATTTTGAAGGAGGCCCGCGGAGCCCACTGTGGCACCATGTGTCCCGCTCCCTGCACGCAGCGCCGGACGGGTAGAGGAAACACACCGATATACATATAACGGAGGCGCCAAGGTGGCGAGATGTTAATGACCGCGCGTGGTAAACAGGAAGTCGTGGGTTCGATCAAGACCCTGACACCTGTATATTTAGAGTTTGCGTGTCTATCTCCCCGTAGTCACGTGGATTTTTCTCTGGGTCCCCCGGTATTTCCCTCCACATGGAGAAACATGTGTTTAAAGTGAGCCACTTCGTTGAGCGATCATTTGTTGCCAGGTCGCTTCTGAAAAAGAGCTTCATAGCTCAGTGGGCCTGACCTGGTAAAATAAAAAATAGTTATAGTTTAGTTTATACCTCTTGTCCACTGTACAACCGAGTCGTGCCAGCAGATGATACATTTTGGCTGATTATGATGATTATGAGTTAGAGGAGTGGATTATGCTGCCCTGATGTAACGGTTAGCACACTAGACTTGCATTCCCAGAGGTCAATAGTGCGATCCCACAGCACAGCAGATTCTTAAATCCCCCTGCCTCTGTCTACTGAACAGTATAAACGCGTGCACCAGCCAACTCTTCCCACCTCTTCCCAATGAGTCTGGTCGGTATGGAAGAGTAGGCCAAACACCCTCGACAGTGGCTCTCGACAGCTCCCACTAGAGAGCCCCTCTAGCAGAGGCTCTCCCGCTGGCAGTGGCGTGAGAATTTCAGGGCTGCGCCTTTACCGTTTGACATTTGTGGCTACGACAATGGCACAGGGGATGGCCTCCTCTTGCAAATTATGTCATGGGATCATGAACATCCACTTTGGTTGACAGTTCCCCACGGATGTCGCCAGCAGCAGCACCTGCAGCGGGAGTTGAGCCGTTGGCCCTGCACGGAACGGCTGAGCGGCTTCAACTCCAGTGCACTCACCTTGACGGTGAGGAAGGTGATGCCATCGTATTCGTGACAAAATCCCGCGATCTGGTCGTCGACGATCCAAGCCCGCTGAGCCGCCAGTTTCTGCCGAGCGGGAGAGGGGAGGGGAGGGCAGAGTGAGGCCTCGCGTGAAAACCACGCGCAAGACGCTTGGCGGCGCAAAGTGTAGTCGGCGCGGTGAGTCACTCTTGACTGCATCTACGCAAACAACTCGTAGCTTCAGAAATAAATTTAGTGCTTTTGGTGTCCGCGCCGTTCCATTCGCGCGGGGCTGCCGCGACGGGCGCCCTCTTTCGCAGGCGGGTATATGGTCCGCCAGTAGGGGGGCAATGTTGCCACGTGGGTTTTACCCAGTGAAGTAATCTGTGAGGATTTTTTTTTTCAAATACGGTCGCACGACACCGGCACACATGCCACAGCGCAGAGAGGCCCTCGTGTAGCAGTGTGTCCACAAAAGGGGCGTTACGGTGATGGGATGTTAACTACCTCGCCTGGTATACAGGAGGTCCTGATACCTGTATATTTGGAGTTTGCATATCTCTCTCCCCATAGTGGCGTGGATATTTCTCCAGGTCCTCCGGTTTTTCTGTCCACATTTTTAATAGACGTGCGTTTAGAGTATTTGGCTGCTATAAATTTCCACATAAGCCAATTTGTTGAGCTATCATTTGTGGCCAGGTCGCTTCTGAAAAATATACATAGCTCAGTGGGCCTTACCTGGTGAAAAAAAATGTGTTCAACCATTTAGTTTACATACGAGTTATAGTGGGACCACGGTGCAGCAGGGGGTGACATCATCCTTGACATCTGTGAAAAAGAGCTTCATAGCTCATCGGATTCCTCCAGTATAAATACATATTCTGATTCTGACGCATCCAATTGCTGGCCACGATAAACACCGCCGTTCCCCAGCCTCCTCCACCTACTACTACCGAAACCCCTTCACCCTCGCTCACCTTCCTCTGCAGGCTTTCCACAAACCACTTGTCGCCCAGGAAGTTGCAGGCCATGTCGGTGTCTCCGTTGTAGACGAGCCCCCGCAGGCCGTGGCCCAGCAGCTTCTGGTAGACGTCGAACATGTCGCTGTAGACGCGCACGTAGTTGGCGCCGACCACGTCGCTGCGCGCCGAGGGGAGACGATTGGGGGGGGGTGTTAGGGCGCACGTGCACGAGATCATTCACCACCGCGACACGTTCACGAGGGCAGCGTTGCCAGGCTTGGGCCCGGTGGGGTGGAAGTTGTATTTTCTCACGGTCGCCAAGAAAAGGGCCCCAAAGGACTAAAATGCCAAGCGGCGAGCAACAAAACAACGCCGTTGAGGCGGTGATAGGTAATAATTGACGCGCATCTTGAATTGAGCAAAGTAGTTATGAAAACTTTGGAAAATAGATGGAAGGGAGAGGGGGGGCTTCCAAAGTTGAGCATTGCGATTGCCATGTTTAATCCCTGCGGTGTCAATAAACCAATCTTCATGTTACGTGACAAATATCGCCCTCAATAAATCAGGCATCGGCGCACATGACAGCAGAACGGGAATGGAACTAGGGCGCAACGGAGCTACGGGAAGAGAAAAAAAACCCGTGACGACCTCAGCAGCTAACACCGACCGGGCAAAGTAAACTTAAATTGCGCGCAAAGATAAAGCACAATTTTAATTGAGTGCCTGGCACGGGCATACAGCGGCCTTCTCCTGCGCACTACGCCGGGGGTTCTTGAACGTCCTTTGTCAAGTGGGTATGGCGGCGTGCAGCATCGTTGCGGTTGGCACGGTCGCGGTAATATTCAGGGCGGCCGCTGGATTCAAACCGCGTCACCTCTGCAGCAAAAAATGTACCAATCCTAACCACGAACCATGGGCATTACAGCGAAGGCAAGTACGTGACATATACCACGTAAATACCTTACACAACTCGCATTGCTCGTGCGCATAACTTTTGCACGCTTACAAATATAGCTTAGAGACGGGGTGGGAGAACCTATGACCCCCCACACTCCGAAATGGCCTGCACATGGATGTTAAACCATCTCACCATTGCCAGTATCTTAGCCGCGTGTCTACTTCGAGCCGCGAGCCGACACGAAGGACGTGGTGTTGGCGAGAGGACAGGGCAGACACCGCAATCAATACGTTAATACCTCAGTGGGCTTTGTCTGGTAGGATGGGGATGGTTTAGTTTTATTTGTACGTGTATCGGTGATTTATTTACCTTTCTTGTACTTTGCACTCCTATCGTGTTTTCGTCTTGTTTGTTGTTTTGATTGAAAGCTTTCGTGACTGCAGGGATTCATATTCTTGGTTCTTTCGGTAAAGTCACGTAGAAGGGAAACAATAAAATAATACAAATATAAAACAATTTTATTGTTTTATATTTTATAATAAAAATTTAAAAATTTTTATTGTTTCCCTTTTACGTGACTTTATCGAAAGAACCTAGAATATTTGAATATTTGTTTGTTGTTGTAACGCTCTGACCAGCCCCTAATGGATGTCTGTGAAAAAGAGCTTTATAATTCCATGTGATTCCTCCAGGATAAATAAATATTCTGAATGTACAGGAGAAGCCCTCATTATTACTATTCACGTTAATGTGTGGCCCACAAAACGGTTGGGTGAAAGTCCTAAATTGGACCTCGCTAAAGAAAATGTTCCCCACCCCCGGCTTGGTGTTAAGCCGTCCGTAACGCGCACAGCCAGGCTTGGTGGTGCACACCTGCAAGTCGAACGTTTTGGAGGCGATTTTGAGATGTGGTTTTTCCCCAACCAAGTACAGATTTTGACCGGGGACACCGGCGCAAGTGGCCTATCCTTTTTCGGATGTCACTAAATGTTTAACATCCACAGTGAAGCGGACGGCGCGTAGTCGTTGAGGTTAATACGCCCGCTGTAGTGGACAGGATGGCCTCTGGGCTCGGACCGCAAGCCTCCACAATAGTCGGAAACTGCACTACCGCTTGTCCAAGTCAGCACACCAGGTACTCATTTAAGGCCGAGTTGACCTATGGGGCCAGCATAAAGACAAAGATCCCTCCGTATTGCCTGAACAGACTGTTGGGACACAGGAGGGGGGGGTGGGTGGCCAGCACCACGCCTGGTCACCTTCATCTCCCCAGTACTGATAAATCGACCTGGCCACAAATGATAGCTCAACAAAGTGGCTTATCATGCGGAAATGTATAGGAGCCAAACATTCTAAACGCATGTTTCTGATGTTCACACACAGCACCAGGTACTCGTTTAAGGCCGAATCGGTTCAAATATTCGCCACCGGTATTGGTCATGAGCAGAAATCGAACTCGGGTCGCCGGGTTCGTAGTGCGGCGCGCTAGCCGCTCCCCACTGGGCCCAACAAAAAAAAACGAAGATCCCCTGTATAGCCGTAACAGACTGTTTGGGCAAGTGCTGTTAGCGAGCACCTATAAAAGCCGGAACGGTACACGAGGGGGTGGGTGGCACCACGCCCGACCGCCTTTGTCTCCCCAGTGGCGATGTTTACACACCGCACCAGGTACATATTTGAGGCTGAATCGACCTAGGGGAGGCCCAGGACGGGTTCAGATAATCGTCACTGGTGTTGGCCGTGAGCGGGAATCGAACTCGGGTCGCCGGGTTCATAACCCAACACACTAACCGCTACCACTACCGCTCCTCATACTGGGCCCAACCCACACACACACGTGCGCGCGCTTGGAAGGGGGCGGCACCTGCAGAACTGCCAGGCCTGCACGCCATCTGGGATGTGCAGGGCAGCACGCACGCTCCGCTGATTGATCCAGTTGGTCTCGCCAGTGCCGTTGAGGCAGGGCGGGACGCCCCGGAGGCCTCCTCCCGGAGCAGCCTGCAATACGGGATTCGAGTGTCAGCCGTGTGAGTGTAGGAGTGGATAAACACACGGCCCAGGTGTGTTGTGCTTTTTGATCTAATGGAGTCAGGGGTGGGTGGGTACCTGATCGGTGGGACACAGCATAGGTGCGTTTTAGTTTTAGATCTATCGTAAGCAGAGTGGGTGGGTTGGTGTCTTCCTGGCTCGAAGCAGCGCAGCAGTGCTTTGATTCAAGGTCTGTACCGTGGGGCCGAGTGGGAGTCTGCCCGGCTGGATACACAGCATAGGCGCGATTTGTTTTCCACATGGCATGGGGGCCCTGCGGGTTGGTGGGAGAGTGTGTCGGCCAGTGAGTGGGTGCCTGACCGACTGATGATGCGGCGGCAGCAGGGGCAGCACGGGGCTGTAGGCGCGGAAGAGGTGGCTCATGTCGGCGCGGTAGCGAGCGCTGTGAGGGCCAATGCCGCCCGCGCAGTCCAGGTACAGGGCGTAGACGTTGAGGCCGATCTCGTACACGATGTGGAACGTCCGCATAACCTGGGGCGGCCAGGGCGACGGGGGAGATTGGCGAGCGAGTCGGAGACGTCCGCGGGCATCGTCACCGCCGGCATTACCGCCTTCATTGTCGTCGTCGTCACCATCATCACCATCGTCACCATCGTCGTCGTCACCATCATCACCATCGTCACCATCGTCGTCGTCACCATCATCACCATCGTCGTCGTCACCCAACATGAGCGAGAATCAAAGCAGAGGAGTAACTGCTCCATTCTGCAAGCACCGCGGTTTACACTGCAAGGGCAATGACATTTATAAACCCACCAAGACTCATGACTATTATTTTCATGAGTTTTTTTTGTGAATGGGAGCGAGTTGGTGTACCCGGGGAAGGACTCGCGTGTGTGAGGCGACAACAACGACAAGGCCACACACAGGGTTCCAGAAACCCATTTGCTGTATTGCCACCTCGTGACCAACAAGTGTGGGTGTCTCTCTTTGCCCTGTGACGGCACATCGTTGTGGAGGATTGACCTCTCACCGCATGGCGAACTGAGAGCACCACCGCAGACGATGGCGCCGTGGTCTGGCTCAGCCCAAGTACGCATATACGCTAGAAGTTGACAACGCACATAGCGATCTCGGTGTGGCCCACCAACCCTGCCTCAAAAGCACCAGGTACCTTTGGACATCCTTGCTGATCTCGTAAAGGAGCATGAACCAAAGGGCAGTTTCCGGCCATCCTCGCAGCGGCTGCAGTTTTTGGCTAGCCATCGAACAAAGACGATCATCGCATCGCGCGCTTTCGTATGCACTTCTGTGGCCGTCTGGAATGCTCTTCCTTCCGATATTAGGAAGCAACTGGAGTTATGCACTTTTAAATAATCTAGATTTAAAACTCTTTTCTTTAGATTGTTTTACACCTGTGTTGCCTCCGAAACGTCGTGTTTTAATTTATTTTTTTCATTTTGGTTTTATTTAATTTAATTTGTATTTAGTTTTTACCTATGTGACTTTATTGAAAGAACCAAAGAGTATGTATCCTCGCAGTCACAAAAACTTCACATCTAGAATTTAGATATTTTTGTGTTTTGTTTGTTGTCCTTCCCCGCACCTCCGATAAGCACGGCTGGCTATGTACGGTGCGAAAGAAGTTCAACGTACATACATTGCGAAAGAATTAACCTGAATTTTTTTTTTTATTAAAAAGAAAAACATTGGCTGGTGTGTGCCACCGTGGCCGGCAATGACGAACTCGATCGATGCCCCGTCGACAGTGGGGAAAAGGTGGCCGCTGTCCGAGCGCGTGACGAGCGCGATGGCTGCGGAGGGGGCCGTGGAGGTGCCACTCACCGCCTCCTTGCAGTCGCTGGAGGAGCTGTTGTAGAAGTTACACTTGGCGCCGCTGCAGCAGTAGCTGTTGAGGTCTGCCCACAGCCTGCGGGTGGGGGGTTGCAGGCATGCGAGGGACAAACGGGAAGATCTCCCGCGTAGCTCGCACGGAAAGTGCTGTTGGCGAGCACCTATTAAGGTCAGAATGGAACACGAGGCGGCGGCGTGGACGGTGCCGCCCCCGGCGGCGGCCGTTTCCCCAGAGATTACAGCACTGGGGAGACAGACGCGGAGTCGACCGAGGGGGCGCCAAGAACCGGCTCAGATATTACTATGCCACTCATGTTAGCCGTGGATGGGGATCAAAGCCAGGTTGCTTGGTGCATCTTATAATCCAGTACGTGGCCTCTATTTCCACCTTGGTCAATCCCACCATTACATGTCTGACGAGATTTGAATAGCTCTCCTGGCACCGGGCAGAGTCAACAACGTTAACGCTACCACACAGCCACTTCTACCATCACCGTGTTTTGCATATCACACGACGAACCTTTTTTTCTCCAGTGTCCGCTCGATATTTCCTAATTTTATATTTCACACACTCGTTTACTGCCTCCCCTGGTAAAATAAGCTCGGTTGGCTACGTACGGTACGAAAGAAGTTCAGCATACAAACAATCCCAGGACACGGTATTTTCAAGATGGTAATTTTTATAAAACATTTTTTTATTAAAATGACTCAAATGTTTGGAGATCATCTTACTCTCAGGATGACATTCTAATCTGGAGAACACGGTAACGCTCGAGGCACAAGGCACTGCCAGCTTCAAAAGCAGCCGAGAGCCAAGTAAAAATTCCCAGGAAAAATGTAACTAAACTATTTTTATTTTACCAGGCAAGGCCCACTGAGACATACGTAGCTCCCGTCTTCCTTGCAGTGGCTTTTTGCTAACCATCGAGCAAAGATGGTCACTGCATCGCGCGCTGCGGCTGTCTGGAATGCTCTTCCTTGCGATATGAGAAAGCCACTGGTACTATGCACTTTTAAGCCATCTAGATTGAACACTCATTTCTTTCGAACTGCTTTTTGTGTTTAGTTTATTGTCCTTCCCCTGCACCTCCAATTGGCATGGTTGGCTATGTACCGTGCATAAGATGTTCAACACATACACACACACACACGCGTGGTGCCCGTACAGAGTGTGAGAACCACGCGTGCTGCGCTCGCACACACACTCACGATTCTCCCAACAGGCCGTGGTAGTAGGCGAAGTAGACGAGCGATTGGTCGTTGATGGCGTAGCTCGAGAGGCCGTTTCCCACCGCGAACCCCTGCGGGGGGGCACGGGCGGAGCGTTTGCGCGTTGGTCTCGGCCTCCAATCGTCAGGCGCAGTTGACCCAGCCAAGGACGCGTCGCCGGACGCGTCGCCGGACGCGGACGAAGCAAAGAAGCAAGCGATAGAAGGACGGGGAGCACTTTGGGAACGTACATTTTGTCATGGAGAGTAAGTAGCTCGTGCAAAAGGTTCACATCACTGCAGTGGGTGGAATGGTAGCGGATCAACGGGACAGGTAGAGGCAGGGGGTGAGAGTACCCGTACATGTGTAATGGTATGTTGTTGTTTTTCTTCTCGTTTGTTATTTTATAACAATCCTTTGTTTATCCAGGAAATACTTAGCAAGTCTCAAGACTGTTTCAGAAGAATCTTGCATTGGAATGTTTTCGCCAATTCCATGAGTGGCATATAGGCAAATAACTACCTCGGGTAGACTCAAAGCTCCACGGTGATTGACAAATACACCGCTCTACTGCCACCTCCTGGTCATCTCACGGTCCAAGCCTACAACACATGGCATTTCCAAGCAGAATCACATCATTTAATAACCAGGCCAAAAACTTGCTTAGCATGTGAGGCGTGATGAGCTCACGCGCATTCACGGCGTTTTGGCCGCGGGCAGTTTCTGATGTTTTTCAATTTCTAACCCCGGAATTCACGAGAAGACAAGAACGTTTAGTATTAAGGGGCATCTCGCCTGCCTGAATAAAGGTCTATATTAATGAATGAATAAGAAATTATTTTGTTTTCACAAACAAGAGGGGCAGGGAACCTACACATCTCAATGGGTTCATGGCCCAGCGAAACCAACCACTCTTTAAACGGCCTGCAAAATTATATTTACCCATCACTGTAGGCATCTTATCAGTACTAATCGAGTACCAGAAGGAAATATTTTTATTCGGGCCACACTTGTTTCTAATGTTAGCCCACTCAGTCACTTCTATCCCTCCTACAGTGACAAAAGTGGCTGGGGTGGGCGCGTGTGTTAATGAATGGCCCGCCAAAGGTGATCTAAAAGCCTTATTCGGGCCTGAGTAAGGAAAAGGTTCCCCACCCCTGCCATTATCATCGTCAGCCAGGGTCAATCCACTTGCTGCATGAACACTTCCCCAAATCCGCCAACAATGCTCACGATCCCACGATGTAAGAATCCACCAGGCACCTACACACGAGCCGATTTCATCGTCGCTCTGTTTCCGCCGGAGACAGCGGCCGCTGCTCAAGCCCATTCTCTACTTTTCTTAACACTTTGAATGCTAATTAAAGTGTTTTTGGGTTACATTGCGTAAATATTAAATGTGCCATTAAACCCGCCGTCACATGACGTGGCCAATCAGTAAGGTTCGTTACTTAAAACAAAACGTGCAAATTAGTTACTACTTCAGCACACCGGTCTGCTGGAGAGTAATATTGGTCGCGGAAGCCTACGTGTGAAATTTAAAATTATGCCATAAACTGTGTATGTTTTCCAATCAAATTGCTCCTCGATCCATCTATCATTGTAACTATAAGCATGTCTCTCCGTTTATTCGCGTAGTTTTCAGTTTTTATACTTTTAATCGTGTTTACGACTCTGTTTCTGATCCATGTTGAACTTCTTTCGCACCGTACATGGCCAACCATGCTAATTGAAAGTGCGGGTGACATATGGATGTCATAACCGGTGGTACGAGCCGATTAATAATTTTAGGCACATTGGTACACGTTGCTTTTCATTACGAAGTTCAGCTTTCAAAAAGCACACCAACCTGTTCATGCAGGCCTGAAAAAAAATCCACAAAAAAACATCTGCCGGAGCGGAACTAAAACTGGAGCGTGTCTGCTGCTGTCACCTTGAAGTTGATTTTGGCGGCGCCCGTCGTGACGCGCAGGCTCAGGGTTGGCACGTAGATGCCTCCGTAGCTCTCCCCAAAAATAAAGAAATCGTTGCCCGAGAACTCGGGGAACTTAGCAAAGAAGTCCTGGAGAGCCGCGTAGTTCCGGTCGGCCACCTGGACACATCGTGGAGGGGGGGGGGAGAAAAGTACAACAGTGAAATGTCAGATATACGTTCTCGCCGCAAAAAATATAATTTACGATGAACTTGAAACATAGGTTTTCCTTGCCAATACAATGATCCACATATGTTTTGGGTTGTATTCATGTATGTTGTGGCGAGTGGTAGTGTAGCGGTTAGCACGCCGCACTATGAACCTGGCGAACCAGTTCAGTTCCCGCTCACGGCCAACACCAGGTCCTCTTCCCCTCGGTCAACTCAGTCTCAAATGAGTAGCTGGTGCGGTGTGTAAACATTGCCACTAGGGAGACCAAGGCGGCCGGGCGTAGTGCTGGTCACCCACCCCCTCGTGTGCCGTGCCAGCCTTCATAGGTGCTCGTTAACAGCACTTGCCCCTACAGTCTCTTAAAACTATACAGGGGATCTTTGCCGTTGTATGTATTTTGAACTTCTTTTGCACTGTACGTAGCCAAGCGTGCTAATCGCTGGTGCCCCATGGTAGTTTTTATGACAAAATCCTTGCCATTAACAAGCCAGAGTGATTCATAATAAAGGTTTTTGAGTTAGATCGCGTTATTTATAAATGTGTCGCAACCCTCCACCACCCGACACAGCCAATCAGTAAAAAAGAGTATCTCGTTGACAAAAGACAAAACAGTTCACTCCTTTAGCCCACCGGTGTGTTGAAGAGTGAATCCACAACATTTACAAATTTTTTTGTGATCTATTATCTTTTCTACCTACGTGACTTTACCGAAAGAACCAAAGTAAACTCACTTACAAACCAACGGAACCAACCTAATATGCCTGTAATCTGACAAGTAAATTGTAAAAACAATACAGCTAAATAAACACACAAAGCAATATCATAACCCACGCGTGAAATCAATTTCAATCAAGTCCTTTGACAAACAGACTTTGTTGAAGATAAATATTTGAAATAATTCATAGCTGGGAGTGATATTTGAACCACAACTGAACTGGCCCTAAGCACCTCCTCTTGACCAACGCGCACTGACCAGCGTGGTGAAGTATGGTCAAACAACCTCATGACTAACACGATGTGGGGAGTTCTTCGTCAAGCAGTGGGTTGACAATGAGCCAAATGTTATTTGTACTTGAATTGCGACTCTGAATCAATGACAATCGAATCGTGGTGGCTCGGTGGGCGAATCGCAACGAGACCCCTTGCGCTTCAGCGCTGCTGGTGAAGTGAGGGTGGCTGCCTCGGTCACCTGGTCGTCGTCGATGGTGTAGTTCTTGTCGTCGGAGAAGGAGAATCCCACGCCAGCGGGAGACTCGAGGTACAGGATGTTGGCCACCTGGTTCCAACTGTCGTTGTTGTAGTACAGAGTCCGCCCGTCATCGTTCACCTGGGGACAGGCACACACAACCCCTTCTGGCACCGCGTCATCGGACCCAGGAGTGGGGGCCTAGGCGGCTCATGATGGCCACATCAGGGCAATGACCCAGCACCACTTAAAAACTCTGTATCAGAATTAATTTTCGCATTAGCTCTCCAATGGGTTTCCACAGGTTGTACCCTCATGTTGTACGGCATGATGTCAGTCATTTCGCTTCCATGTGCCCGAAGAAGCTCCCAGTGCATGGAGTGAAATAATTCCAGTCAACATGCGGTAAAACCCGAAAAAACGCATCACGGCAAGCTATACAGCACAACTGTGAAAAAAACCTCATGTGATAATCTCACTTTGTAAGCATGCTACGGAACGACTGCACCCCCTATTCCCTCCCCCGCCACAGCAATGAGGACGCACGTGGAAGGGCCCATTCTCGGACAGGAAACCGTCGATGGAGCTGCAGCCGGGCCCGCCATTCAGCCACAGAACCACAGGGTCGCTCGCTGGGTTGCGCGCCGACTCCACGAACCTGGGGTATCAGGGATGGAGACGGCACGGGGCAGAGACAGACAGCAGGTAAGGGGTAGTGGGTGTGACGGGAGCGGGACAAATGTGAAACAAGTTGTGTTTATGTCTAAATCGTCCATTAGTCTACGCACCTTTTACCTACTTTGCATTAATCTCACCCATTACAATGTTGCAATGTGCTCTACTCTCACTATGATTATGGTGATGATAAAAGCTTGCAATAACATTAGTAAAAAGTGGGACAGGAACATCGCACGGGCTAAATGGGGATTATTTATATTTTCTCAATGAGCTGCGATTTAAATTTCTTTATTTCTCGGAGACAGTCATAGGCAGAGGTGGAGGGGAAGGCCTTGAGTCTGGACTTGAAAAGGGACAGGGACTTGAAAAGGGACAGGGTCAAGTACGCGTGGCTGTGGGACGAGAGAGTTCCAGACGAGGGAGGGTGGCATCAGCAGAAAATGCGTGACCTCGCATTAAGCGGGAAAGGCTGCTTGCAGGCTTTGTTCGGAGACGTTGATTACTGGAGTGGAGAGTGAGTGTTGGGGACTAAGGTAAGATGAGAGGGGATGAAGTAGGCAGTGGCAAATCCTTGGAACATCTTGAAGATGGAGAGGGTCATATGGAAAAATAATAATCTGAGCCTGGACTGCAAACAAATGACGATCTGAACCTTCAGTCCAATCAGCATTAACTAAGTACCTGGTGTGGTGTGTAAACGTCATCACTGGGGAGACAAAGGTGGCTGGGGCGGTGGTGGCTACACCACCCCCTCGTGTGCAGTTCAGACCTTCACAAGTGCTCGCTCACAACACTTCGCCCGACGGGCTGTTCAGGCTACCGGGGGAACTTTGCCTTGTTCATGCTGTAGCACGGGATGAAGACATAAAGGAGTGTTGAGGGCATGGTATAAACCACATGGTATGGAAAGCAGAAGTGTGACCACACGTTTCGTCACGTGTCCTGCGGCTATCGCTAAGCCCTGCTTGGCTAACGACATCTGACTAAATCGGCGCATTGTGACCTCAGGGGTTTTCGAAATGTAAACTATTATTATTGGTTCCGATTTAAAGCTTTCGTGACTGCAGGGATTCATATTCTTGGTTCTTTTGGTAAAGTCACGTAAACGGGAAACAATAAAATAATAAAAATATTAAACAATAAAATTCTCACGACGTTTCGACTGCAACACAAGCAATCATCATCAGGTGTGAAAACCACAACAAGAAAATTTGAAAAAAAGTGGCGGTTATTTTTTAATGTTAGCACCACGGAGAGCGATTTGACAGTTTGTTCAGATGGACGAGTCCATCTATATTCTTAGTTTTTTCGGTAAAGTCACGCTGAAGGGAAACAACAAAATAATAAAATATATATAAAACAATAAAAAATTCTCACGATGTTTCGACCATAACTCAAACGGTCGTCTTCAGGTGTGTTGGTTTGCATAAATTTATTTTTATTTTTAAACGGCGCATTTATTTATTTATAAAAAACGTTAGCGCCACGCGCAACGATTTGGCAGTTTATTTAGGACTAGTCCATCTATATTCTGAAAAGAGGAGGGGGGAGACGAAATTTTTTATAATGTATGCTGTCTGAAAGCCACTGTAAGCGTGAACAATCAATTAAGACCTGAAATGGTTTATCAAATCTTTCCAATGATTGCTAAGATAGAATCCATCTTCTCGGTTGAAATTGTCTCTGTGCTTGTATATGTGGATAGCCTCATGAACGAATCTCTCATGGAAGCCAGATGGCTTACAAAGAACCTCTGTCTTGGAAAAGTCAATGGCATGTGAGCCTACTGAATTAGAACAATGATCTGCCACGGCCGAGGTGTTGGTCCTACCGTGTTTAAGGTCTGCTTTGTGTTCACGAATGCGGTCCGAGACATGGCGTTTGGTTTCTCCAATGTAACTACTACCACAGAGGCAACTTAGTTTGTAGACACCAGGGTATTGTATGTCCGGAATCACATCTTTTACAGACGGAACCAGATCACGGATTTTATGTAATGTGTTGAAACGGACCTGGATCTTGTGTTTATTCAAGATTTTGGAGATCTTTTTTGTGATCCCCGCAATGTAGGGTAAAGTGATGGTTTTGAAAGGCTCCTCAAGAGGGTTCTTCTTCATGGTTTGAGTGATAGCTTTGCGGATTGTATAGTCGGAGTAACCATTAGCCCTAAGAGCTTGGTGTACGTGCTTGAGTTCACTGCTTATGTGTTCCTGGTCGGATATGCATTGGGCTCTATGATACAGAGTCTTGATGAGAGAATTCTTCTGTGATGGATGGTGGTGGGAATCCGGTTTCAGATAAGCATCCGTATGTGTAGCTTTCCTGTAGACAGAGTGGCTCATTGAACCATCAGGTCTCTTTTTAATTAGGACATCCAAAAAAGGTATCTTGCCATCTATTTCGACTTCCATGGTAAATCTGATGGCTGGGTGTATGGAATTGATGTGGTCGAAGAATTGGTCTAGAGCAGGCCGGCCATGTGGCAAGATGACAAAAGTGTCATCCACGTACCTCTTCCATAAGGTTGGGCGCAGAGTGGCAGTCTGGATGGCGTCAGTCTCAAATTTCTCCATGAAAATGTTAGCTATAACTGGAGAAAGGGGGGAGCCCATTGGGGTGCCCTCAGTTTGTTTGTAGAAAGTTCCATTCCAAGTGAAGTATGTATTGGTTGAACAGTGTCTCACCAGGGGGGGTACCTCAGTGTTTAGTCCTTGAAGAAACAAGTCTTCAATGATTGCAACGGTGTCAGGTACAGGAACCTTGGTGAATAAGGAAACTACATCAAAACTGACAAGCAGGTCGTCTGGGGACAGGGAAATACCCTTGATTGTCGATACCAGGTGAGTAGAATTTTGTACCGCAGAGGTGGTCTTTCCAGTGAAAGGACGCAGGATTTCAGACAAAAAACGAGCTAGTTTGTAGGTGGGGGAGCCGATAGTAGAGACTATGGGACAAAGGGGTGTATCTACTTTATGTATTTTGGTAAGCCGTATAATCTTGGTGGCCTGGCAGCAGAAGGTTTCAACGAAAACTGTTTAGATTGATCAATTAATGCGGTTGAATCAGAAATTATTTTGTTGGGTTGTGTGACGAGGCTGTTGGTGGGATCTCTTTTTATTTTTGTAGAACTACCATCGTCGAGTAATTCTTTAATTGTGTTGTTGTATTCTATTTTATCCATGATGACAGTAGCATTGCCTTTGTCAGCTGAGAGGACTACAATATCATTCCTCTTTTTTAATTCATATAATTCAAAACGCTCATCTTTGCTGAGGTTGCTAGCTGGCATCTTAGCGTTTTTGAGGGTTGCAGCGATTTCAGATCTTGCTACGTCTGCAGAGATGTGACCCAGGCCCCTGAGAGCAACGTCTACTTGGGCAATTATATCATTAACTGGTATGTGTTTAGGTGTGACTGCAAAGTTTAGACCTTTAGCTAAAACGGATTTCAGACCATCGGAAATAGAACTGTTACTGCGATTAATTACGACTTTGTTAACGTCTAACTTTTTGGTGTGTGGGTCCGGTCTTTTGTTGAAGAGGAGGTTAAATTTGGAAATCAGGTTTTCCTTACATTTGGTCGACATAGTAGCAGCTGAAGAGGCAGTAATATTGTCTACATGTTCCCAATCCGATGTGGACATTGTTGCCGTCAATGATAAGTGTGATTTGTAGAGTGTCTTGTCTAACTGATCTAGTTCGGTGCGTATAAGTCTGATTTTTTCTGAGATAAGAGCTAAGCTAGTTTTGAAAAGAATTCGTTTCGCATTAGAAGAAGTTACAGCAGCAAAGGTCAGTGTAAATGCGATTGGTATTACCCCAGAGTCGCGGCATCTCTTCAGGAAGGTGAGAGACTCGATCAGCTGAGCTTTCTTATCCCGGAGTTTTTTGAAGGATCTTAAAGTTATGTGAAAACCCTCCCCGTAGAGGCGATTAAATTTTGATTTAAAGCTTTCGTGACTGCAGTAATTCATATTCTTAGTTATGACTGCCTCTTCAGCTGCTACTATGTCGACCAAATGTAAGGAAAACCTGATTTCCAAATTTAACCTCCTCTTCAACAAAAGACCGGACCCACACACCAAAAAGTTAGACGTTAACAAAGTCGTAATTAATCGCAGTAACAGTTCTATTTCCGATGGTCTGAAATCCGTTTTAGCTAAAGGTCTAAACTTTGCAGTCACACCTAAACACATACCAGTTAATGATATAATTGCCCAAGTAGACGTTGCTCTCAGGGGCCTGCGTCACATCGCTGCAGACGTAGCAAGATCTGAAATCGCTGCAACCCTCAAAAACGCTAAGATGCCAGCTAGCAACCTCAGCAAAGATGAGCGTTTTGAATTATATAAATTAAAAAAGAGGAATGATATTGTAGTCCTCTCAGCTGACAAAGGCAATGCTACTGTCATCATGGATAAAATAGAATACAACAACAAAATTAAAGAATTACTCGACGATGGTAGTTATACAAAAATAAAAAGAGATCCTACCAACAGCCTCGTCACACAAACCAACAAAATAATTTCTGATTCAACCGCATTAATTGATCAATCTAAACAGTTTTCGTTGAAACCTTCGGCTGCCAGGCCACCAAGATTATACGGCTTACCAAAAATACATAAAGTAGATACACCCCTTCGTCCCATAGTCTCTACTATCGGCTCCCCCACCTACAAACTAGCTCGTTTTTTGTCTGAAATCCTGCGTCCTTTCACTGGAAAGACCACCTCTGCGGTACAAAATTCTACTCACCTGGTATCGACAATCAAGGGTATTTCCCTGTCCCCAGACGACCTGCTTGTCAGTTTTGATGTAGTTTCCTTATTCACCAAGGTTCCTGTACCTGACACCGTTGCAATCATTGAAGACTTGTTTCTTCAAGGACTAAACACTGAGGTACCCCCCCTGGTGAGACACTGTTCAACCAATACATACTTCACTTGGAATGGAACTTTCTACAAACAAACTGAGGGCACCCCAATGGGCTCCCCCCTTTCTCCAGTTATAGCTAACATTTTCATGGAGAAATTTGAGACTGACGCCATCCAGACTGCCACTCTGCGCCCAACCTTATGGAAGAGGTACGTGGATGACACTTTTGTCATCTGGCCACATGGCCGGCCTGCTCTAGACCAATTCTTCGACCACATCAATTCCATACACCCAGCCATCAGATTTACCATGGAAGTCGAAATAGATGGCAAGATACCTTTTTTGGATGTCCTAATTAAAAGAGACCTGATGGTTCAATGAGCCACTCTGTCTACAGGAAAGCTACCCATACGGATGCTTATCTGAAACCGGATTCCCACCACCATCCATCACAGAAGAATTCTCTCATCAAGACTCTGTATCATAGAGCCCAATGCATATCCGACCAGGAACACATAAGCAGTGAACTCAAGCACGTACACCAAGCTCTTAGGGCTAATGGTTACTCCGACTATACAATCCGCAAAGCTATCACTCAAACCATGAAGAAGAACCCTCTTGAGGAGCCTTTCAAAACCATTACTTTACCCTACATTGCGGGGATCACAAAAAAGATCTCCAAAATCTTGAATAAACACAAGATCCAGGTCCGTTTCAACACATTACATAAAATCCGTGATCTGGTTCCGTCTGTAAAAGATGTGATTCCAGACATACAATACCCTGGTGTCTACAAACTAAGTTGCCTCTGTGGTAGTAGTTACATTGGAGAAACCAAACGCCATGTCTCGGACCGCATTCGTGAACACAAAGCAGACCTTAAACACGGTAGGACCAACACCTCGGCCGTGGCAGATCATTGTTCTAATTCAGTAGGCTCACATGCCATTGACTTTTCCAAGACAGAGGTTCTTTGTAAGCCATCTGGCTTCCATGAGAGATTCGTTCATGAGGCTATCCACATATACAAGCACAGAGACAATTTCAACCGAGAAGATGGATTCTATCTTAGCAATCATTGGAAAGATTTGATAAACCATTTCAGGTCTTAATTGATTGTTCACGCTTACAGTGGCTTTCAGACAGCATACATTATAAAAAATTTCGTCTCCCCCCTCCTCTTTTCAGAATATAGATGGACTAGTCCTAAATAAACTGCCAAATCGTTGCGCGCGGCGCTAACGTTTTTTATAAATAAATAAATGCGCCGTTTAAAAATAAAAATAAATTTATGCAAACCAACACACCTGAAGACGACCGTTTGAGTTATGGTCGAAACGTCGTGAGAATTTTTTTATTGTTTTATATATTTTTTTATTATTTTGTTGTTTCCCTTCAACGTGACTTTACCGAAAAAACTAAGAATATGAATTACTGCAGTCACGAAAGCTTTAAATCAAAATTTGAGTCCATCTATGTTCGTGACTGCAGGGATGGACGAGTCCATCTGTGTTCGTGACTGCAGGGATGGACGAGTCCATCTGTGTTCGGAAAAGAGGAGGGGGGAGACGAAAAGTAATGGATGCGGTCTGAAAGCCACCTTGAGCGTGATAAATCAATTAAGACCCGAAATGGTTTATAAAATCCTTCCAATGATTGCTAAGCCAGAATCCATCTTCTCGGTTGAAATTGTCTCTGTGTTTGTATATGTGGACAGCCTTATAAAAGAACCAAGAATACTATTATTGGTGTTATTACATTATTATTATTCCGGGTGATTTGAAGAGACGTTTATGTCGTCATACAAGCGTATTATTTTGATCACAACCTTTTATTGTACGTGTAGACACAAATAAATGACCGATGCATCGTCTGGTTCTTGATGTTGACAAGTGCCATACTGCAGCAACACTGCCCGTGAGGCCGGGCACTTCATGTGCGTCTTATGACGTGTGTGAGGTGAGAGGTGTTAGGTATTGGGTACGTCAAGTGAATCAGCTGAGTATCTGGTGATAGTCAGGTGAGTGTCAGCCGAGTGTCAGGTGAGAGGTGTTGGGTATTGGGTACGTCAAGTGAATCTGCTGAGTATCTGGTGATAGTCAGGTGAGTGTCAGCTGAGTGTCAGGTGAGAGGTGTTAGGTATTGGGTACGTCAAGTGAATCAGGTGAGTATCTGGTGATAGTCAGGTGAGTGTCAGCTGAGTGTCAGGTGAGAGGTGTTAGGTATTGGGTAAGTCGAGTGAATCAGGTGAGTATCTGGTGATAGTCAGGTGAGTGTCAGGTGAGTATCAGCTGAGTGTCAGGTGAGAGGTGTTAGGTATTGGGTAAGTCAAGTGAATCAGCTGAGTATCTGGTGATAGTCAGGTGTCAGCTGAGTGTCAGGTGAGAGGCGTTAGGTATTGGGTAAGTCAAGTGAATCAAGCGAGTATCTGGTGATAGTCAGGTGAGTGTCAGGTGAGTGTCAGCTGAGTGTCAGGTGAGAGGTGTTAGGTATTGGGTAAGTCAAGTGAATCAGCTGAGTATCTGGTGATAGTCAGGTGTCAGCTGAGTGTCAGGTGAGAGGCGTTAGGTATTGGGTAAGTCGAGTGAATCAGGTGAGTATCTAGTGATAGTCAGGTGAGTGTCAGCTGAGTGTCAGGTGAGAGGCGAGTGTCAGGTGAGGGCAGTCCGTCCTACCGACACATTACTTCACTTGTTAAAGGTGAGGGTGTCTGTGAGTGTCTGGTGAGTGGCAGTGGTTGTGAGTGGGGTGTCCGTGCGAATGTGCTCAAGGGTGGTGAGCGCACACCTGTAAATCCCTTATCAGTGCCATATCTTATTACAAACCAATTCAGACTTTATTGGTCACACTGCGCCCTTATAAATTTCAACGTTCACCCTACAAAGTCCCAGAACAAGGAAGAAACACAGACAAATAAGACTACTACTATTTTCGCTGCCCGCATTGAAACGGCTGCACGCCGTCTGGCCCTGAACGCTCAACTTCCCTGTACAAGAATACGGGGTAGTGGTGAGAGTGAGTGGTGAGAGTGAGTGGTGAGCGCGAGTGGTGAGTGGTGAGCTTAAGTGGTGAGCGTGAGTGGTGAGCTTAAGTGGTGAGCGTGAGTGGTGAGCTTGAGTGGTGAGTGGTGAGCGTGAGTGGTGAGCTTGAGTGGTGAGTGGTGAGCTTGAGTGGTGAGCGTGAGCTTGAGTGGTGAGCGCGAGTGGTGAGCGGTGAGCTTGAGTGGTGAGCGTGAGTGCGAGTGGTGAGCGCGAGTGGTGAGTGGTGAGCGCGAGTGGTGAGCTTGAGCGGTGAGCGGTGAGCGCGAGTGGTGAGCGTTGAGCGCGAGTGGTGAGCGGTGAGCGCGAGTGGTGAGCTTGAGTGGTAAGCGGTGAGCTTGAGTGGTGAGTGGTGAGCGAGCGAGCGGTGAACGGGCGCGCGAGCGGGCGGGTGAGCGGTGAGCGCTCGGCATGATTTGCCGCCCGCTCTGCTCCCCCCCGCCTCACCAGTAGTGTAGGTGCGCTCCGTGGCCCCCGCTCAGGAATCCCGAGTAGTGCGCGAACGCGGGCTGCGGCTCCAGCCCGGGCAGCCCCTTCACCGCGTCCGCTGCTGGGGCGCCTCTCGCGGCCCCCGCTGCCAGCACGACCGCCAGCAGTAGCGACAGCGGCAGCTCCATTGCTCGCTTCGTGGCGATGAGCGCGGTCAATCCTCCACCCACCACCCGTCTCGTTCCCGCTGTCGATCCGGGAATGCACCGCCGCCGGCTTCTCGCCGCCGTCTTCCGCCTCGGTGACGTCGCGCGCGCGCGTGCGTTCACGTGCACGTGACGTCATCTTCGCGGAACGCGGTTGTCTTGTACGGCGGGGTAGAGGAGGTTCCGCGTGACGTCATCGTCGCACCCCCTCCCCCCACGCGAACGAGTTGTACACGATCGCAAGGGGTCGAGACGGTGGGCGTGACGTCCACTTTACCGAACGAGTCACTTGGGCTCGTTCGACGTCATCTTCACCGACGAGTTACAATCGCATGGTGTCGAGGCCATCGACGTGACGTCATCTCTACCGAACGACGTGGGGGGTTATCGCGCCGATTTAAATATTTCACGATACGAGATCAAACATCACGATTATCGATTTAAAGCATTCGTGACTGCAGGGATTCATATTCTTGGTTCTTTCTGTAAAGTCACGTATCGTGACTTTGTTTACCTATCCGACACTTCGCACTCCGTGCTTCGTGGCTCTCCCGGATGACAACAACAACAACCCCAAGGCGCGTATTGTCGCAAGCATCGCGCGCCGGACTGCGATCGTAATCGAGAATCGATAGCGGTAGAGCGCAGTCATCGACATACGCGCGGGAATCGATTCCGCGAGACGACGGACCCATGACCCCCCCCCACCCCCGTGTGTGTGACGTCAGCCCGTAGCCCGGGGGGGGGAGGGGCCTCGTCGACACCTCCAGCACGTTGGTTGGCGAGTCGAGGGAGGCGAGCGAGGCGAGCTGCGTGCCCGGACTCGGCCCTCGCGGCGCCGTCTTTGTTGCTGTTGTTGCTGCTGCTGCTGCAAAGATGGAGAGCAAACGAGATGGACACGGTGAGCCGCGCACGTCCCTCGTCGTTTAGGCGGTTTAACGGCGGGACATTTCGATGTAGTGCCAGGGCCTAGTCACGGTTTGGGCGATGCCGGAGGATCCGGAGAAATAAAATCCCCAGCGACCACGGAGAGAGAGAGCGAGGGAGAGAGGGAGACGCGCAGACTCCCGGCCAGGGATCGGCAACCTTTCCAAGGAGAGAGAGGGGTGGGGTTTTGTCTTTTACCGAAATAGTTTTAGAGCCGCTGCATGGCACGCGCAGAGACCGCCCACACGCCGGTTCAGTGCACCTGTTCGTAACGGCTGGGGAGCAGCCGTAGACATGGGAACATAGAATACAGTACAACGGTGGAGTTAGCTGCACTGTCCCTCTAATTCCCCTACCACTGTGTATCACCCATCCATTGAGCTCTCCCCACGCTCAGTAACCACTTGGCTTCAGTGATCTCATAAGATCGGATAACTTTAGAGTGATTTGGTCGCAGTCAACGGTATCAATATATTGAAAAGATAAAAAAAAAATTCACGATACAATTATGCACGCGAGCGCTGTAAGCGGTACTTTAATACTGTACATAATTTAATTTGACCAAATAAGGCCCACTGAGCTGTATAGTTTTTTTCTGAAGCGACCTGGCCACAAATGATAGCTCAACGAAGTTGAAATTTATATTTCTCGATTTAAAGCTTTCGTGACTGCAATGATTCATCTTCTTTGGTTCTTTCGGTAAAGTCACGTAGAATGATAATAAAATAATAAATTGATAAAATAAAATAACACATTGTGTGTTATTACACAATAACACACAATGTGTTATTGTGTTATTACACAATAACACACAATGTGTTATTGTGTAATAACACACATTGTGTTATTTTATTAATTTATTATTTTATTATCATTCTACGTGACTTTACCGAAAGAACCAAAGAAGTTGAAATTTATAGCAGCCAAATACTCTTAAGCGCGTGATTCTGATGGGGATGGCGAGAGACACGCCATCCCCAAATACAGAGCAGGCGTCAGGGCCGGGATGGAACCCACGACCTCCTGTATCACAGGCGAGGTAGTTAACATCTAGCCACCGTGGCTTACTATGAGCGAGCCATGAAGAGGGGTGTCTTGTATGTATGTTGAACTTCTTTCGCACCGTACGTAGCCGACCGTGCTCATCGGAGGTGCGATTTAACTTAATGTAATAGGCGTTATCTGAATCATAGCCTTACTAATGGAGCAGTCAAGAAGGTTTGAATAAAACAATGCCCTGCCATCGTCTTCAAGTTGGCTCGGATCTTTGGGGGGGGGGGGGGTGGAGAGGTAGAATTTTCTGTCACTCCGTGATAATTATTCCAAATAAACTTTCACAAATATGGGCCAAAATACCGACTCAGTGGCCACACATCCGAGACCCCCACAGAGCCACTGGACACAATTACAGTATTTGACACGTGTATCTTAAAATACAATTATTTTAAGTAGGATTTCGTTTCATGCGGGAATTATTTGTTGAATTGTCCGTGAACGAGAATGGGATAAACTTACGAGACATTAGCAAAATATAGATATCCGTTACATTACATTAATAGCATTATGAGCACAGCTCAATATTACAACCAATTTACGACTGTAATGAGCCAAGAATGTCTGTGTCCCGCGCATGACGTCACTCCACATGGGGGGCGAGGCGCCTCACCCCCCCCTCCTCGGCGTCAACTCACATCCGTCACTACACAGGCAGAACCCTCACGTCATCACGTGATCTCCGTGACGCTGTTTGACGTCATGATGAACAAGGGATTATAACCTTTAAATGAAATAGGTCTGTGTCACAGCGGCGTGACAAATTGCACACGAATGGATGCAATGAATATCACGTCACGTTCTGCTTTTCGCTTGCAAGTGTCAGATTTACTGCAATACACCCGTCCTTGGACAGGCAAAAGGCGAGTTAAAACAATATTTACCAGACAGGACTCTTTCGTGCTGATGCCCATTGATTCAGTAGAGTCGGTGAGTAATACACAAGAAGTACATTCGAGACTGTTTACAGAACGACGTTTATGTTGACCGTGTACAAAAAATATGAAATGTAAGCAACTAAATTGTATCCACTGCTAGAAGTTGCTGCACGGATTGTTGGTGCCCTTTAAAGCTAGAGAAGAGAAATATAAAATGTTACGTAAAGAAAGAGATGAATCACTGCCCACTGGGTTAGCTGTTACTCAATAACAAATATAAAGAAGCATTTGAACATTTTGTTCCTGCCCTGTACAACATTGTTTTGGGGAGCTGTAGAATGGATGATTCTGTTGAGCGGATGTTGATGGTTAAGCATCGAGGCCATCATATAACGGTTACTTTTTAGCTATTGTGTAGTGCTTGTAAAATTGTCTATAAATGTAATGTTGCAGTTGGTCATTTCCATGAATCAGCTGAAACAAATAAGCTGTCCTTTATGCACATACAAAAAATCGACGTGAAGAGATGGATTATTACATGCCGCTTGACGTGACCCTGTTTGTGATGTTTCCTCTTGCAGGAATTTACGGATATCTCTCTCCGGCCGAGGTGGAGGGGGCCAGCATCCAGGCGAGTTTTAAAAACCGTCCCTACCCATCAAAACGCCTCAACATAACTCCAGGAGCATGGCAACCACCGATTTCTCAATATCGTCTTCATCCAGAGCACAGCACCCACGCACCACCAAGTGCCTGAATGACAAATGTGGGCCTAGAAGGAAGTCGTCTCTCTGCTAGGCCCCCAATTCGGGAGACACGTCCTCACTCTGTAACGAATCGTCACCCACCCGCCCATCGCGCGAGCGCGCCTGCAAATAACCGCTGGGAGTAGCTCTAACCCTCCTTCTAGAATGACTCTTCTAACATTGTAACCGCTTCTATTCCTTCCCACCCTCCGCTCCACCAACCCCCACCCGCTCCCAACCATCCTGACCGCCCGCTCTCTTGCTATCCCCTCCGCGCCACACAGCCGCTCGACAGGGACAGGAGCAGGCAGTTTGTGAGCGCCATGCTGCGGCGCGTCATGCCGCGCGCCAAGCCCGACCTGTTGGAGGAGAAGCTGAAGCGGCACGCCGTTGTGCTGAACAAGGGCGGGAGGGGCGCTCGCGCCAAGCGCAAGAAGAAGGCGGCGGCATCGTCGTCGTCGGCGGCCTCTTCTGGCGCGTCGCCAGCGTCGGGCCGCCCGCTGTCGTCCCGCGAGCGCCGTCGTTTGGGCCTCTTCGACATCCGGCCAGAGAACCAGAGGTGGCGTCTGATGGCTAGCCTCTTGCACCGATTATTTGGCGACTGCTTGCCTACTTTTCCCGTTAATGTTTCTATCAAATTGTTTATTTATTCATTGTTTAATAGTTCGTCAACCGCTCTTATCCTTTGTCTGTGATCATTTCTATTCGCCGTTCATTGTATGTATTCATTCCTCGTCTGCTCTTATTCTTCATCACTGTTTCCGCTCAGAATTTTCATTCATTATCTGCCATCATCTCTTATCCTCTGCCTGTGAAATTGTTTCTCTATCCAGTGCTTTCAGTCCCTTGTGCACTACAGTTCTTTATAACCCCTCTGCAATATAAAACTAATTTCTCCACCATGTTCTCAATTATCATCAATAACTATATAATCAATCAATCGGTTAATTTCAACTGACCAAATGCTGTCAAACTGGCTGCAGCACTTGTGTCCCAGTGAAGGAACGGTGGCCATGGGAGAAGCATCATTGTGTTTCGCAGGGAGAATGCAAGCCCCTAACCTCTTCGTCACTCGTGTGTTGTATGTCTCTCGACAGGTACGCCCTGTTCCTGCCCCTCCACCAACTCTGGCTGCAGTACATTGACGACCTCTTTGGGGGACTCAAGTCCACAACGTACGTCTCTGCCTTCCATTAATTCGTCACATGACCCAGTTTTCACATTCGCAAGTTGCTCAGGTGACTAATAGCATGTCACAGTACTGGACGGCACATATGCACTGCTTCATGAGTACGGGTCATGAGAGTTATAAGATTACTGAATTTTGTAATTAAGTCAAATGTATAATCTTAGCTCTTTCGGTAAAGTCACGTTGAAGGGAAACAATAAAATAATAAAATATATGTAAATAAAAATTCTCACGACGTTTCGACCATAACACAAACGGTCATCATCAGGTGTGTCGGTTCGCATTTATTTATTTTTAAACAGTGTATTTATTTATTTATAAAAACGTCAGCGCCACTAACAGCGATTTGGCAGTTTATTTAGAAGGACTAGTCCATCTATGTTCTGAGAAGAGGAGGGGGGAGACGAAAAATTAATGTATGCTGTCTGAAAGCCACCGTAAGCGTGAACAATCAATTAAGACCTGAAATGGTTTATCAAATCCTTCCAATGATTGCTAAGCCAGAATCCATCTTCTCGGTTGAAATTGTCTCTGTGCTTGTATATGTGGATAGCCTCATGAACGAATCTCTCATGGTAGCCAGATGGCTTACAAAGAACCTCTGTCTTGGAAAAGTCAATGTCATGTGAGCCTACTGAATTATAACAATGATCTGCCACGGCCGAGGTGTTGGTCCTACCGTGTTTAAGGTCTGCTTTGTGTTCACGAATGCGGTCCGAGACATGGCGTTTGGTTTCTCCAATGTAACTACTACCACAGAGGCAACTTAGTTTGTAGACACCAGGGTACTGTATGTCCGGAATCACATCTTTTACAGACGGAACCAGATCACGGATTTTATGTAATGTTTCGATTTAAAGCTTTCGTGACTGCAAGGATTCATCTTCTTTGGTTCTTTCGGTAAAGTCACGTAGAATGAGAATAAAATAATAAATTGATAAAATAAAATAACACAATAATATTCTCTCGACGTTTCGGCCACAACACAAGCGACCTTCATCAGGTGAAGGGACGAGACTGTCTGGAGGACAGCGCTGGAATGAAAAAGCCACGCTCAGATCGCGACCTTTAAGCTGTGTGAGAAGAAACAAAGCGCCTTGACAAAGGAATTAGCATAGAATTTAGCATTGAAATGGCTGAGTGATTAGCTTGTGACTGGTCACAGAAATGGCTATGTTAAAGTTAAAGCATACACATCTGCAGAGGCACCCCTTGACAAAGGAATTAGCATAGAATTTAGCATTGAAATTGTGTATGCTTTAACTTAGCTTAGCATCATAATGCCTGTGTGAGAGCAGTGAGTGCGGTGCCACGATGGCAAGATGTTAACTATCTCGCTTGGTATGCAGGAGGTCGTGGGTTCGATCCCAACCCTGACGCCTGTATATTTGGACTTTGCGTGTTCTCCCCGTGGTCGTGTGGATTTTTCTCCTGCTCCTCTGGTTTTTCCCTCCACATTTAGAAACATGCTTTTCGAAAATTTGGCTGCTATAAATTTCAACATGATAACTCGCTTATCATGAGAGCTATCATGTTTTGGCAGGTCGCTTCTGAAAAAGAGCTATATAGCTCAGTGGGCCTTGGCTGGCAAATAAAAAATAGATTTGTTATAGAGTCGGCGCCGCTGAGGTCCTGTTTTGGAAATCCAGATTTCAGTCACCTGTGTTTATTCTGGGTTCTCAAGTGTAGTGAAATAATGGTCTCAGTGCCATCATCAATGACTACACAGAAAAAACCCAACATATGAAATGTTATTTTAATCTCATTTGGCAAGTTCCAGCAATAGCCACTTAAAGTTTTATTGCCATGTGATGAACACCCCTGGCAGAGCTTGAGATAAGACACAATACGAAGTGTGAATAAGAGCTATTTGAAGGAAACTCAGAAGTAGTTTTGACATCACCTTCCAGAGGCCATTCCTTAACAGCTACCTTTTTTGGGAGGATCCTGCCCAGATTTGCAGGAAAAGGTGATGATTGCTATGTGCATTTCAATTCAGTAATCTGCTGGGAATTTTCAAATCTGCCATATTTCGCCTACTCTTGTGAAAGATGCGACTGCATTTTCAACATCCACTGTGAAGCAGGTGGCACTTATTATTAGGGTGATTAAACACAACCGCAGTATTAATCACTCTCCAGAGGCCATTCCTTAACATCTACCATTCTCTAAAAAGAGTTCCGCATGGAAACATCTTAATATCATAACGTGATGCCAATAACATAATCGGAACATAATTTGCCGAAAACATAGCACGCGTTTTAAAAATATAAATTACCTCGGCCAAGACACAATAAAGAACCTCGTATATAGTTTGTTGCCCTTCCCCCGCAACCTCCAATTAGCACTCTTGGCTATGTACGGTGCGAAAGAAGTTCAACATGCAGACATACGTACACAAAGGGGGCGGCCATAGGCCTTGCGGTGCCATCAGTTCGACCGTTACTGTTGAGACCTGGGGATAGGAAGGGGGTCTGTTTGGGGCTTGGGGCCCCTTAGGAAGAGGGTGGATGCTGCTCCGCGCTTAACTTCAACGTTCGTGAGTAATCAAACCACGTGGATGTTTCTTACGGTGGTATCGGATGGGATGAGCTAATCGGCCACAGACGGATGACGCGACTCTGACATGAATCCCTCTCTCCCATCGTTCTAGGCGCTCGGAGCAGATCCAAATGAAGATGCTGAAGGCCGACCTACACGGAGCCATCATCACCGGTGAGGCGCAAACACGGAGTTTCGCCTGAGCAGGCTGCCAGAACAAGCGGCGTTAAAGAATGCCAGTTTGTGAACGCCAGCGTGATATACAATGCAATTTGGATTTCTATAGCGTGGATGCACAACTGCATCTCAAGAGGCTGTACAAAGACAGTATTTTACATACGCATCATGTAGACAGTTTTGTATATATAGTATATATTCTACAAGATAGTCATCGGCAGAAGAGAAGGGGAAGTTTTAGATTATGCTCCTGCACAGCTGGAAGGCGTGTGCATTTGAATCAAGTGGATGCATGTTGAACTTCTTTCCCACCGTACGTACGTGCAGTGTAAGGGCCCGTATTTTTATCACGGCTCTGGCTCTGGCTCAGGGTTGGTTCTGGCTCGAGTGAATTGGTTCAGAGCCATGCCCAACTCAAACCGGCCTGCACGGTCCCAGCCACACTCGGGGAATTCCGTGAGCCGAGACTGAGCTGAGCCATGTCTTTGAAAGCAAAGCGAGCGTCTCAAGCCTGAGCTGATCCTGTGCGTTTGAGGCCGAGCCAAAGCTGAGTCGCGATTAATAATGCAGCCCCAAGTGTTTGTGTGCCTAATGCGTGCAGTCATTTGCATGTACATTTGCAAGTTTACGTGTGCGCATGTGTGTGTACGAGCGATTCACATAACACGCTGTAGTTGGCTCCCTTTGTGGCCTGGCTTGCCAGTCTGTTAATTATTTTTTTTGAACGCCGCAGTGGAGAAGTCAAAGTGTCCCACGTACGTGGGAACGACAGGGATCATGATCCAGGAGCTCAAGAATGTGTTCAAGATCATCACGAAGGACGACAAACTGAAGGGTGAGTGTTGATGAGGGTGACTGCAATATGAGGCAACCCACGCTCGTCCCCACGCCATCCAGCTTCCTCTTGAAACTAAAAACTAAACTATTCATTTTAGCAGGTAAGGCCCGCTAAGCTATGTAGCTCTTTTTCATAAGCGACCTGGTTATCACAAACGATCGCTCAACGAAGTGGCTTATCGTGTGGAAATTTATAGCAGCCAAATACCCTTAAGCACATGTTTTCCCCCGACGCTCAGCAGAGCTGGGTTTTTGTTTGATCACGTATCGTTGTACGAGGTGAATAATTTCGGCCGGCTTTTTAAGGGACAAAAAAAACCACCGTGACCAAGTCCCCATAATGCATACATCATCATGTTTATGCATACATGTTTTGATGCCACCAGTGTTTCAATTGCTTTGGGATTTACATCGATCACCACTGATGTTACCCACGGCCGCCAGTGGTATTTGATGTACGAATCAGTCTTGGGTATCCCTTTTCACCGACCCGACACTGACCACATTGCCGAAGTATGGTCAAACAACCTCCATAACCAGTTTCGCACTTCCGATGAGCATGGTTGGCTACATGCGGTGTGAAGGAAGCTCAACGTACGTACCTATGCCATGGGGAGGCATTCACCCAGCAGGAGAATGATCAAGGGCTGTACTTCATTATTAATCGGGGTTGGAGTCTATTTGGGGTGGGTTTGTTATTGTTCGGGTTAACATGAGGCTTATAATTTACATCAGGCTCATACTGTAAATGAGGTTCACGATTGCCATCAAGGTTTACAGTAAATTCGTTATCGGGGTGGTGATGTAGCCCAGCGGTAGTGTGCTGCCACTTGTTACAGAGGTTGACAGTTCGAATCCAGCGGCCGCCCTGGTTAATACCGCGGTTGTGTGTAACAACCCTAATAATACGTGCCATCTGCTTCACAGTGGATGACTAAGATGCATTCGCATCATTCGCAAAGAGCAGGCCGTTGTGTGCCCGTGTCAGAGTCCAAATGTGCCAGATATGATCATTCCAAGCAAATTACTGAATTGGAATATGCATAGTGATCATTGCCCTCTCCTGCAGACCTTTGCAGCATCCTCCTGAAAAGAGTTATGAGACTCAGTGAAGCTTTCCTGGGTAAACAATCATGAAAATCAAATATAACAATACAATATTATGGTTTACATTAGGACTAGGATTTATATCATGGTTGACACCTGCATTGGGGTTATGGTTTATGTTAGAGTTGTAATACTTGAGGGCTATGATAGACAGCTGGGTTGGTGCTGGGGTAAGCAATGGTTTGCACGATGGAGGGTTTTGTGCATCTGGGTTGTATGTACATTTGTTGTTGTTGAACTTTTTTCGCACCTTACTGAGCCAACCATGCTAATTGGAGGTACTGGGGAAGGAAAACAAACTACAGTAAAACCTTGGATTGCGAGTAACTTGGTCTGCGAGTGTTTTGCAAGACGAGCAAATTTTTTTTAATAAATATGAATTTGATAAACGAGCGAGGTCTTGCAATACGAGTAGTACGTATAGGCTTTGTCTGCCGAGCGTCACGTGATCACAACTGATATAGAGTGCTTTGATATACGAGTGCTTTGGATTACAAACGCATTTCCGGAACGAATTATGCTCGCAATCCAAAGTTTTACCGTAAACACGAAAAGCAGTTCTAAAGAAATTAGTTTTCAATTTAAATTTAAAAGCGCATAGCTCCAGGAGCTTCCTAATGTCGGGCTGACGTAGGGGGTTGGAGTTGGGTTTCTCATTGGTGTCCGTCTGGCTTGCCCCCGACGCTCATGCCCGTCGCGTGCAGTGATCCCCAAGCGGAAGAGCATCTTCGCCGTGGCGTTTGGAGGCTTCGTGTCCCACATCTACGGCTCCATGTTCTGCATGCGCTCCAGCGAGCGCTCTGCCAAGAAGTTCAAGGCCAAGGGCAGCGTGGACCTCTGAAAGGGCGACGGCACAAAGACGCCAGCAGCTTCCCTCCTTCCCCGCGAGCGGTCGGCACACCTTCTGTGTGCAGCGTAGGTTTCTTTTTTACATTTAGGCGGAAAATGCCAACTGGCCAGCGACAAACACCGCTACTGTGAAGGTCTAATGGAGTCTGTGTTTCTTGAATTGGGGAAGGTCATACGAACTTTGCAAATGATAAGGTTGGGAGGGAATTCCAAACTTTAGTGGCGTGATGAAGGAAGCAGAAAGATGAAAGTGTTTGGACCTGCAATGTGATGGTTTAATAAAGTCTGAATAGAACCAGCCATTCTCAGTCTGGTAGACCGTATGTATGCAGATTGGGTTTTCTTCACGTTTCATTTCACACTATTTCGTAATGTAATTTTTTATGACACACTTAAGTTGGTGTTTCCAGGAGACAAACTTATGCTGCCCATCAAGTGTATGTATGTTGAACTTATTTCGCACCGTACGTAGCCAACCGTGCTAAGCGGAGGTGAACATCCTGAAAGGGAGATATAACTCAGAAAACAAACGGTAATCTTGTAGCTGCTCATCATCTAGGCGGTGTGTTCCGGGCTGTGGACATGGGTACGAGGCTTCGTTGTCAAGTGCACTGACATCTCTCCCGTCCCTTGGGTGGGTGGGGTTGAGGATGCCGTTGACAATCGTTGGTTTCCCTGGTGGGTCCTCGTGTGGCTGCACAGACCAAGACCGGAGAACACGGCGCTTGCCACACCGGATGCGTAGAGCCGCTCACCCTGGTTGGATTCGGGTTGGATTCGAGATGGACGCTGGATTCGTTGCTGGTGCCGCTGCTCGGTTTCTAAAACTCGGGCACCGCTTGGGCGGCGCGCGGTGCCGTGCACTGGTCATTCGGCAGCTGCTCGCAGGTCGAATCAGGGATGTTCTCTTTGTCGTGTTAAAGTATGTATGTGTGTTGAACTTCTTTGGCACCATACGTAGCCAACCGTGCTAATCGGAGGTGCCAAGAAGGACGACAAACATATCAAAGACAAAGATCCCCTGTATCGCCTAAGCAGACTGTTGGGGCAATTGCTGTGAGCGAGCACCTTTGAAGGCTGGAACAGTACACGAGGGGGGGTGGGTGACCTGCCTCACGCCCGACCACCTTTGTCTCCCTAGTGGCGATGTTTACGACACCACGCCAGGACCGGTTCAGATAATCGTCACTGGTGTTAGCCATGAGCGGGAATCGAAGTCGAGTGGCCGGGTTCGTAGTGCAGCGCGCTAACCACTACACTGCCACTGCTCCCCCCTTTGAAGCGTTTCATCTGTCCTCGCGAATACTGGAGTACAGGACCTGTTTGCACCAGTGTTTTACATTGTTTTCCTGAACGATATTGTAAATATGTTAATAAAATACATCGGAGAGTTTATATTCAGTTGCCCGGGTATCAACCCATGAAAAATAGGTCTGTGTCCCGTTACCCACATTGCATTAAAATGCACCTAGCCTGGCGCAAGCACCGCACCCTTGATGACATCGCCACTTCATTGTGAATGGCAGCTGCTCTTGTTTTTGTCTGACAAATCGTGACAATTCATTGAATTTCTGGGGTGGTGAATCGTTAAATGCCAATTTAGTATAAAAAAATACAGTAATCCCTCACCAACCGCGTTTTTTGCGTCCGCGGTATTTACGTATCCACGGTTTTCCTGCCGCATACCGATTTGGTAACCGCGGTGCGGAGATTTTTGGATCCGTGGCTTAGCATGGCGACCAGCGCGACTTGTGATTTAAAATCGTCGCGCAATCTGTCGCAGCCCCCCCCCCCCACCGCTCTTCACACCGCCAGGTGGAGGTAGCGGCTGGGCAAAGCCCCTCTTCTGACAACCACCTCGTCGCCCCTTACCTCATCATCAATGTCATCACCATAGACTTGAACCCTCCGTATTAAAAGTAAATAATTTAATTGCTTTAAATTATGTTATTTGAACATTTAATGTTTTTAATTATGTCATTGTGTATTTTATTTGTGTTTAGTGTGGGAACAGGCAACTTAGGCTTTGACCGTGGCTGCATTTGCCCTAACCCCCTATTTCCCATAACGCCGTAGTATTGTCAACCACAGCGGTTTTCAGGAACGTAACCTTCGCGGGTTGGTGAGGGGTTGTTGTACGACAATGTATAAACCGTGCTGTATCCACTCCTATATAGTACAATATACACTAATAATGTAGTATACCCATGGATTGTCCATTTCTCGACTGAAGACACTTTTCACAAAGCCATCTATAATAATCAAGAAGCCTACAATCAATTTCTTTGTCGACAAACTTTGATGCCCAAGGAAAGGCAGGTTGATTATCCACCTTTTTGAGCACCTTATTCGTTAGAGTAGCTTACCATTACAGCAGGCACTTCCTAGCTAATATTAGTATATGGCTCAAGGGAACCTCGCGACAACTATGACACTCAACACACGAAAAGCACTTGTAGCCGAGAGCTCCCTGCGCTACAGGACCTGAGCCCTCAAGGTGGGAGCTGCCGTCGCACGAGCGGGAGAAGACGCGGCCGCCACTCATCGCACCGCGTGCTCCCTGAGGCTCGACGAACGAGGAACGCGACCAGCCAGCTCAACCCCCTCCCCCCCCCCCATCTCACTGGGGCCAATCTTGTATGTACGTTGAACTTATTTTGCACAGTACGTAGCCAACTGTGGTAATCGGGGGAGAACTAAACAAAGCATTTCTACAGAAATGCGTTTCTAATCTAGATTTAAAAATGCATAGCTCCAGTGGCTTCCTCTAATCGGAAGAGCGTTCCAGACGGCCAGAGGCATAATGCAGTAACCGTCTTTGTTTGATGGCTAGCCATAAGCCGCTGCTAGGATGATTGGAATTCGCGTGTTTATGCCCCTTGATGAGACCAGCATCTTCACGTCACTAGTGCCCGTTGGCTAAAACCTGATTACCTGATCTTTGTTGGGAGCTGTGCCCAATTGGCCAGATCTTTGGAACTCTCTTGACGTCTTCTCCCCTGTCTAGGCAGGCCTCCTGGGTTCGACTCCCAACCCAGCCTTGTCCCCCACCAAGTTAAGACAATAGGCACATTCCCTATAATAACGTCATCCGGTGTGTGGCAATAGGGATTCGCGATTCACTCAAACACAATCAGCCTGTCAACATGGTACGTTTATTAATGGCTCGGGGAAAATCACATCCATATCAAATCACGCGCACTATGGAAACTTACCGTCGTAAACTGTTCACATTTTTCTCATAACGAAACTCCCAATTCATGCCAATTGGAAAAATCGTAGTCGGCAGCGATGGCAAAATAGCTTTTCGGCAAGAACACAACCGAATTTCTTTGCAGCTTTTGATATATTTTTTTTACAGAGTACCGAGTCCCTCGTGACGCTTGACCACAACGCTAAAATAACCACCGTAATGCATTTCAACCATATGCAACATCTAAAATGTGCACTACAGGTTCAGCATATACTTAGAAAAATCGGACTTGTGCAAGGGTTACGACAAGTGTCGTTTGCGAGCACCTATTAAAGAAACAATGAGGCAGTGGTGGAGGCAGCACCCTACACTGCTGGCCACCTTTGTCTCCCCAGTGCCTAGGTTCATGAACACAGCAAGAGGTACTCATTTTAAGTGGAGCGGATCTAAGGCAGGCACAGACCAGGTTTAGATTCCAATTGACACCGATGCATGCAGGAAGTTAGGTGAAGACTGGGGTTCCAATGCAGTGTAGTGAAAACCACAACCACTGCTATGCAATCACACGTGCACACACGTGACTATGAAACACTAAATATCAGAGGTATTTTCTGTAGTTTTTTTTCTTCCACATTTAGATGCACCAATTGAAGTCTGCCTTCTTCGTGCTCGTAACTTGCCATCCAAAATGTACCCCCCCCTCCCCCATAGTATTTTTTAATTCCCAAATGTGAATTGGGAACAGACAACATTGCGTACGGCACAGGTCGAATATATGTCCACGATTAACAAATGCTGCATTTGAATCAAATGTACGCAACTCTATGTGCTCGATGTACAGAAATACACCAATAAGTGAGGCTTGGGTTAAGGAGAAAGGCACTAAAGTGGCTCCCAGTGGTTGGTGACCAAAGGGAAGCCCTACAAATCCAGACGGGCCGAGATTGTAAGTACACAACCTTGACGGTCCACTTCCTGCTTCTAACAGCTGAGTCAACGAGCAGTGGTGAGGTCTGGCATCAATGATAATATCTGTGATGCCCTCCTTACTGGTAAGCTAACTTTTTTTCTCTCTGAATAAGAGGCAGCGAATCGACTCACTTGCAGGTGCTGGGTGGATCATTGCATCGTGGGAGCCTGAGAGATGGTGGTGGCTCGGGGAAGCCTTCATCCAGCAGTGGATTGTCCAAGGCTGATGGTAACCAAGAGGCATTGGTTGAAACTATAATGTACTAAATTTCGATTTAAAGCTTTCGTGACTGCAATGATTCATCTGCTTTGGTTCTTTCGGTAAAGTCACGTAGAATGATAATAAAATAATAAATTGATAAAATAAAATAACACAATAATATTCTCACGACGTTTCGGCCACAACACAAGCGGCCGAAAGAACCAAAGAAGACTATAATGTACATTTGAGTTTATTATAGGGAAGTGCTATGGGTGATGTTAAGATGCCTTGAATCTGTTATTTAACTACACTGCCAATGCAGTCACTGAAGAGTAGATTGTACTCTTACTTTAATGAGATCCAATCACACAAAGCTTGTGACATACGCCACTCAGAAATAACACAATTTTTTTAAATTAAAGCACAGATCAGTGAATGTTACATTTATTGCTGCACAATCTGTATTTAATAATTACGTAGGATAACAACACCTATGTAACTACAGCATGGTTAATTCCTAAACTGTTGGCCAAGGGGAACTCCAGTGGCAGCTGTCTGTACAGCACAAGGTGTACATAATACCGGGCTACAAGTCAGCATTGGTTTGTATGTAGGGGATGATGTTTGCCGTGTGGTTTTTCCCAAGTGGGACTTATATAAGAATTGAGTTTAGATTATTGTTTTACCACATGTTCAAACCTTTGTCAAGCAATCCAATTCTAACCAATTTACACTCCTTTACGATTTTTGCATCCTGCTAAAATGCAGCTCTCCGTGTGGATTTTTGTGGTGCGGTAAACGAGTGGTGGAGCAAAGGTAATAGACATGGAACCATGATTCAGTGCTTCGCGCATTACGCTATGACCCCAGCAACCACGAGTTCAATTCCTGGCAACGGCTAATATCGACGGTGAGTGAGCAATATCCGAACAGGTCCTGGGTTCCTCCCCGCCACCTTCACCAACCCACATTGACCAGTCTGGAAACACAACCCCCATGGCCAATGCAGCGTGAGGGAGAGGCCTTCAAATAGCAGTGGACTGACAAAGGGGCTGTACGTCATACCTGTCAACCCCTTATCAGTGCCTATCTTATTCTTTGGACCTTTCCGTCAAGTCACAGAGATAGAAAAATAAGAAAAAAATATTTTTATTATTTTTATTCACTTTTTTTTTTCTATCGACTTGACTTTCCCGAAAGAACCAAAGAATATGAATTCCTGCAGTCACGAAAGTTTTAAGTCAAAATTTAGTGCCTACCTTATTACAGACCAACTCAGACCTTATTGGTCACAAGGGAGAAACGGCTGTATGCCATTATGGACCTAAAAACTGAATTTCTCTGTACAATAATATGGGCAAACCATATAGGTTGACAGGTATATGTACATATGCATACATTAATACGTACACAAACTGTCTGTGCAGCATTGGGCAGGTTGACTTCCCGCCCTAAAAGAACACAATCGCTCAGTTATTATTAACACCAAGTGTAAAACATAGCTCGTACATAAATATGCTTTGTCTATATTTTGGTCAGGTGAAGTAGGGAATGCCTATGATCCAGTGCTCTGGATCCAAGGGTTGGTGGATCATTCAGAGATATGCGACACTCCCAAAAGCTGCTATACTGCGAGGTGGCTAGCCGATTGCAGTACAACAAGCAGGCCCTCCGATTAGCACGGTTGGCTACGTACGGTGCGAAAGAAGTTCAACGCACATTATCCCCATGTATGGGTGTGTTTTTCAGGCGTGTTGATTCCCTCACATGCACACGAAACATTCCTGGATTTAAAAAAAAGTCGTGAGACTCGGTGAGAGACTTCCCGGATAAACTTACATTATTTGAACCATCTAAACAATTGGCAGACATGGGACGATGAAGCATGCGGACTGGAGTTTAATGACAGTTCTAATGAATCACAAATTCCCACACAAACTATATATTGACAGGATGTGTTCCGGCGTGCACATTTTGATCACAGTACAACTGTGTCGGGTTTAGGCAACTAATAGTGGTTTGCACCCCGCCCCATTCTGCAGTACTACGTTTTAGGTTTTAATGCCAAGGGAAAAACATAACCACCACCCCGTCCCCAAAATAAATAAGTAATAAATTAATTCCCACTGTGCAATTATAACCATGATAATCTACACCTATGACTCGCTAGGTAGAGCGTGGCTAAGTCGCCTTGAAAGTATGAAGGTTTAACGGTACGTAAACAAATTGCAATTCTTGCCTGCACATAAGGGGGGACATGCACAGCCACTGCAACACTTAACTTTGCTGTCTGTGATAACAACAAAAAGACAACAGCCAAGCAGTTTTGAGTGCCTGTCCAGAAAGCAAACTGCAGACTGCACGAAAATAAGATCATACAGGGGAGGCTTGGGGAGATTCAAAGAGACATGAGTGAAGCATGGGTAGTTTCAGGGAGACGCAGGGAGGTGCAACTGAGATAACGGGAGACGTGGGCAGGTGTAAGGAGACATGGGGAAGCATGGAGAAACATTCGGGAGGTGCAGAGAGACATGGGGAGATGTCTGTCTGGTTTGCCGCACACACAGCAGACCAGATGGACATCTGTATACACAGCCAGCAGTCCAATCAAGCGCAGACCTCGGTCATTGAATAGAATCAACGCTAAACGAAAGCAGTCTGTGTAGAAACGCAAATCACCGGGGCAAGTGACAAGCAGCCAATCGAAGCCTGGGTTTCAAACAAGTAATTAAATGCATCCATGATACAACGCACGGTGCAGAAACTTAACAAGCAGGAGGGTACATCAATAAAACATACCTCCAGAAGCAAATACGCGGACCACGTGCAGTGATCCGATGCTTTAAATAAGACGCTTGGTAGCGCTGGCGCTGCTTCCTCGAGTCATGCCTCTCGCGCATCAATTTCCTGTAATTCAGGGTGTGGGGCCACGCTCACAGAGAGAAGAGGTCACCCGCCGAGGGCAGTGGGGCCAGGCCGCCCGTAACGTTGGGCAGCTGAGAGAGGTCGGGCAGACTCTGGATGTGCGCCTTCAGCTCCCTCCTCACCCACGTCACCCTGCTCAGCTTCTGTTTGTACTCCTAGGAGCGCACGGGGAAAGGAAGAGACGCGCAACACGGTTTTAAATTAAATTGAAAAATCTAATTTTGTATTTTCTCATTAGTCCCGCTTCATTCTTTAGAGTCACACGTAAGAACGTTATACAGTCACAATGCTGCGTGACGTCACGTGGATGGAAAACACATTTAGATTGAAAACTAATTTCTTGAGAACTGCTTTTTGTGTTTAGTTGGTTGTCCTTCGCCCGCACCTCCGATTAGCCCAGATGGCTCGGTACGCTGCGAAAGAAGTTCAACATACATACATCACGTGGCCCACCAGCACCATTGTATTATATGGCCTGTCGGAAAATACGATTGACGAACCCTGCCAGTGCCATATCAGGGGCGGGGTGAGGAGGTCCGACCACCCTGGGGTACCCCTCCCGAGTGGGAAAACCAAGCCAGCGGTAACAACAACCGTCGGCGACTAGAACTCGCCAAAACTTCGCGGCCACGCGATCATGCCCATCAGTTGACTCGGCAATTAAAAAACGACCGCGCCCGCCCCCGCACCTCCAGCCTGCGCTCCTTTTCGCGCAGCTGCTCTTGCTGCCGGCGCGTGTAGTCGGCGAGCATGCGCGCCAGCTGCCGCCGGTCCTCCAGCTCGGCCGCCAGTCGCCCGTTGTAGTCGGCGAGCAGCAGGCACGCCTCGTCCACCAGAAGCGTCAGCCGCTCCGCCGCCTCCCTGTCTGGGCTCACGTGCCACATGGGTGGCCCGCGACCATTCATCCACCACACCATCATTGTCGTCGCTTAAACATTCGTGATGCCCCTCCCACGCGGTGCATCTACCCCCCCCCATGGGGCGCGTAATGAGGCACCATGAGGCAGTGGACCCCAGATGGCAGCTGTCCTTGTGTGGAACAAAGGTGAATACGGTGCCATCCATCGAGTGCGCATTCGTTTGCCAGTAGGAGCGATGTTGCCATACAGCTTCCCAAATAATTTCAGGGTGCTTCAACAAGATTTTAACACTTAAATGGGACTATCGTTTTTAATCGAAAAAGAACGGATAATACACTGTAACATGATAACAAATGTATGTTAATAGCTTCAAAAAGTTAAAGAGTCTCCACTTGTTCGCCATCATTGTCAACACGTGCCTGGAATTTTCTCCAGGTGGTCTCCTGAGCCCGGAGACACATTTCTTGTGGTATTGTTGCAAATTCTCATAAGTGTCAACATTTTTTTAACCACCCTGTATATTTGCACGAAATGTATCTATTTTTTACAGTGACGCCACCACACATGGCCTACTACATGTGCAAAACTGCGTTTTACACTGTTGCATGGTGCGTGCACTGCACCATATCACTCCATTGCAATATGGTGTACAATATGTGCTGCACATTGCACATTAGTGTGTTGCACTGCAACTGGACTTTTTTTTATTTCGTGGCAGAGCTTCGTTGTTTAGCAATATATTTCAAAGCTGTGCCCCATTATATTATGTTGAACTCTATTATAAGCACGGTTGGCTACGTACGGTGCGAAAGAAGTTCAACATACATAGAATACATTGCACTGTATCATTGCATCACATCGTACAGCACTGCATTACATTACAATCGCTCCAGTGTACTGTCACATTGTATCATATCGCATTGGTCGACACTGCCGCATTGTCGGAGTGGGGAGGGGCGTACGCACCGGTGATCCTTGACAGCTGCGATATGTCCTGCACCGCGGGCGGCAGCGACGCAATCTTCTGTCTCACGGCAGCGTCGCTCGATGCAGCGCTCTCCAACTCCGTGAGGACCCGCACCAGCTCCCCCGCCTCTCGTCACAGCCGCCGCCACCACCACCCCGGTACAACACAGATGTAGATGGCCAGCACATGCATGAACGTGTCACAGGAGGTCACAACCTAAGTAGAGACCTGTAATTGCGCCTGGAATGGAGAAAGCCATTCTGGAGCATGGCAAGAAAGACCATGTCGCAAGCCGAATAGCATTTAAGACAGGTGGGCAATGTTTCGTCAAGGAGCATAAACCATCGCGCAAACTCTGGTCATCCTTGCAGCAGCGTCGAACAAAGACGGTCACCGCATCACGCGCTTTCAGATACGCTTCTGCGGCCGTCTGGGACGGCTCTTCCTTTCAATATTAGGAAGCCACTGGGCCTATGCATTTTAAGTCTAGATTTAAAACTAATTTCTGAATAGTCTTTGGTGTTTAGTTTGTTGTCCTTCCCCGCACCTCCGATCAGCACGGTTGGCACGTACTGTGCGAAAGAAGTTCAACATACATACATACAATGTCAACTTAATTCCAAATAAGCCCGATCACCACCAAGACATCAGGAAGTTCACTGCCCAGCAAGTACTGGTCTACATCATATTTGAGAATTGGCCATGGAAGGTAAAATCACTTTTCCAAATGGAAAAAACATTCTGCAAAATTCGACTGAAGCGCACCGCAAAAGTGGAACACGTCGTGAACTCACATCCACTGCGAGCCTACGGATCTGTGTGAAATCTACGGATCTCTGTGCGAGTCTATGATTCTCTGTGTCAACTCGTGTCCACTGTATCTCTATGGGTCTCTACTTGAACTCGTGTCGACTGCATGTCTATGGGTCTGTGTGAACTCGCGTCCACTGCATGTCGATGGGTCTGTGTGTGAACTCGTGTCCACTGTATCTCTATGGGTCTCTACTTGAACTCGTGTCCACTGTATGTCTATGGGTATCTGTGTAAACTCGTGTCCACTGTATGTCTATGAGTCTCTGTGTAAACTCGTGTCCATTGTATGTCTATGGGTCTCTGTGTGAACTCGTGTCCACTGCATGTCTATGGGTCTCTACTTGAACTCGTGTCCACTGTATGTCTATGAGTCTCTGTGTCAACTCGTGTCCACTGCATGTCTATGAGTCTTTGTGTGAACTCGTGTCCATTGCATGTCTATGGGTCTCTGTGTGAACTCGTGTCCACTGCATGTCTATGGGTCTGTGTGTGAACTCGTGTCCACTGCATGTCTATGAGTCTCTACTTGAACTCGTGTCGACTGTATGTCTATGAGTCTCTGTGTAAACTCGTGTCCACTGCATGTCTATGGGTCTCTGTGTGAACTCGTGTCCACTGCATGTCTATGGGTCTCTGTGTAAACTCGTGTCCACTGCATGTCCATGGGTCTTTGTGTAAACTCGTGTCCACAGCGAGCGATCTCCAAGGGCATGAGTAGGATTCAATTTGTTGTGCCCGGAAGTCGGCAGCCATATTTACAACCAAGACACTGATTTGTAGTTGCTTCTAAATGTATATCCATACAAAATAAGAACACTATAAATGTCATTTTTACACTTAAGATTGACAGTTATTTAACATATATTAACCATTAACAAAACAGTAATTTAACTATTTAAAACATTTCCAATTTTAAGCAAATAAGTCACACCGCTACAGTTTAATTCGAGTAAACTTTACCTCTATAAGTGTGGATCTTAAAATGACATTTGATTAATGATAAAAATTGAAATATTTGTATACAATTTAACCCTAAAGAGAGCGGAAGGGGTGCCACAATCGCAGCACATGGTCGCCTGATGCACCACAGGGTTCACTATTGCATCCGTCTCCCATGTGCTCTGCGAGCAGTGGGGTCTTCCATTTTTCTAATTTTTGGTCATTAATTTTTGTGCAAAAGGTGTTCCAGCTGGAATCTGTTTTACTTATGGGGAAGTATTCTGGCATACCTGAAAGTCCATCTCCAACGAACGTGGCTTCTAGAGGTTTTCCTGGACACACAAAGACGAAAACGCCACGGTGCCGCCAACTCAGTCACCTCGGGCGGTTCCTTGGGCGAAGCGTTCCCCAGGTAGTGGTCGTCCTCCATCACGGCCGCTGGCAGTACCACCACCTTCTTCTCCTCATCCTCCTCATCGTTCTCCTCCTCTTCTTCATCTGCCTCCCGACGCCGCCGTGTTGGCTGGACGGGCACCGTCAGCTCGCGCGTCCGCTTCTTCGTCTTTCTCTCGCCTGTACAGTGCACACGCAGCACAGCGTGGCTCTTGCACAAGCAGCGTACTCAGCCAACGTCACCTTGCCCTGGGTACAAGCCACGGAAGATACCATGCACAAAACAACTACCATCGCCATTTGCTGATAAGTGGCAGTGATGTCACCCTGGCACTTGAGGGAGGTTGGATGCATTTTTAGGTCAAGGAAAGTAGCCAAGGGGTTATGGGACAAATTCAGATGTTATGGGTTAAAAGGCAGTTATATCAGCCACCCAAACGTCCAAAAGACAAAGATCCCTCATATGGCCTTAAACAGACTGTAAAGTGTTGTTAGAGAGCACCTATGAAGGCCGGCACAGCACATGGGGAGGTAGATGGCCAGCACCACGCCCCCCCCGCCTCTGTCTCCCTAGTGGTGATGTTTACACACAACAGGTACTCATTTGAGGCCGAGTTGACCTCGGGGAGGCCCAGGAGCAGTTCAAATAATTGTCACGGGTGTTGACCGTGAACGGGAATTGAACTCGGGTCGCCGGGTTCGGAGTGCAGCGGGCTAACCGCTTCACTACCGCTCCCCCACATGTTCGCACACACACACGCACATTTGAGCCTGTGCTCCTGCTCACGTGTCGGTGCACCTGCCCGTACTTGCCGCCTGCAGTAGCTGCTCGATGAAGTCCCCGTCGTACACGGCTCTCTCCTGCCAGATGTGGAGCAGCCGCTGCATGGGCGTCCGGCACCTGTCATCCGCCTCCCTGCACGCACATTAGACAGTGTAGCATTCACAGGCTGCTCTGCGAGAGATTCAAACAGATTCTTCATATAAAAACTAAACTATTTTTACTTTACCAAGTAAGGCCCACTGAGCAATACAGCTCTTTTTCAGAAATGACCTGGCCACAAATGATAGCTCAACGAAGTGGCTTATCATGTGGAAAGTTTCCCAGCCAAATACTCTAAACACATGTTTATAAATATGGAGGGACAAACCAGAGGACCTGTAGAAAAATCAAAGCAACCAAGGGGAGAGAGACAGGCCAACTCCAAATACACAGGCGTCGAGATCGAACCCAAGACCTCCTGCATACCAGGCGAGGGAGTTAACATATCACCACCATGGCGCCCATATCATGACTGCACACCGTTCAGACCTGGCCACGTGGGAGAAGGCGTCGAGCAGCACTGAGGAAAACTCCCGCGTGAGTTCAGGGCCCTTGCGCTTGCTGTTCTGGATGACGTCGTTGGCCAGGTAGAGGTAGGTGAGCTTTCGGCTTGGTTTCGCTGCACACATTCCCATCGCCAACAGGCATACGTACGGACATGCAATAGTCCACAAGCCAGGACCAGATATTTAAACTGAACTTTTTATTTTACCAGGTAAGGCCCACTGAGCTCTATAGCTCTTTTTCAAAAGCGACCTGACCACAAATGATAGCTCAAAGTGGCTTATCGTGTGGAAATGTATAGCGGCCACATACTCTAAACGCACGTTGATTCTAAATGCGGAGGGAGAAACCGGAGAACCCGGAGAAAAATCCACGCCACCACAGGGAGAATGTCACTTGTCTGTAACATCTGAGAAATCGAAACTTTGATGTGTCCAAATTTATGTGGCCAATAACAGTGAATTTTGTGAAGACCATTTGAGATGAGTGGGGTCATCAAACAATCGATACCACTCGGGAGTTTTGTTACCTTAGATGGTGCTCTGGCAGATGAATGGTACAGGGGTGAAGGAGTGGTTTACACTATAGTGAACTACACTGCATGCACTATGAACCTAACAACCCGAGTTCGAACCCTGGCCACGGTTACTATCAGTGGCAAGTATTATATTTTTAAAATCGGTCCCTTCAATGATCGATGTTTCCCATAGTGCACAGCACTAGAACACAGTGTGTGCACATTATACTGTGGTATAGATTCAAGAAAAGTGTGCTATTTAATACGGCAATATTTAGCTCATGAATTATAGCATTACATTTTCACGTGCAATATTAAAAATGTTTACAATGTACAACACTGTATATAACTCTACCGTAGTATGTAGGGTATAGTCTTGTAACATTTAAATAATGTTGTATATGATAATAAATGTAGTTATTTATTCAAATGTTTGGTTATCTCTCTTGAAGCTCCCGTGTATTATATACAATATACGTCTAATATATGCTGTGTATATCTCTAATTCCCAATTGGATTACCTGAGGCTGCCGTACCAAAGGCGCCAAACGTCCCCGTGTCTACCTCACACTCTGCCGGTACGATACAAGGGTGGTCTACATGTCTTGTGACCCACAGTTGATTGAACCCCCCCCCCCCCCTAACAATTTTTTTCTCTTTGCATATTAACTTGTTTTAAAAAAAATATTTACTTTAAAATAGATATAAATATTAAGTTTTAGAGGATTAAATGGGGGTCACAAGACATCGGGGACCGCCCCTGTACTTTAAAATAAACTATTTTCTATGTTATCAGGTCAGGCCCCACTGAGCTATTTTACAGAAGCGACCTGGCCACAAATGATAGCTCAAGGAAGTGGCTTATTTATCGTGCGGAGATGTAAAGCAGCCAAATAATCTCAAACGCACACTTATAAACGTGGAAGGAAAACCCAGAGACAAAATCCACGCAACTACGGTGATAGACAGCGAGATGCAAACTCCAAATACACAGCAGCAGCAGCAGGCGTCAGGGTCGGGATGGAGCCCACGACCTCCTGCGCCCCAGGCGAGGTTGTCAACATCTCATAGCCACCGTGGCGAGCACTGTACGGTACACGACTTTGCACCTCGTAATATAGGGGAAATGCAATGGCGTTTCGCCGCATGCCATAACGCGTGTATAAGCAGCAACAACAACGACGATAACGACAACACGAATAATCATCGCCTACTTTTCTTGAGGCTGCCGTGCCACACTTTGGCGATGGTGCGCGCGTGCTTTCTGTGGTGAATGAGCCACAGCGACAGGGTCTGGACGCTCTGCTGCGAGTTGCTCAGCTCCGATAACTTCTTCTCGAACGCCGCCTCCGAAAATGCCGACATTGCTCACTCGCAGCTTAATGTGGAGATTGCAATTAAAGTGAAAATTTTAAAAAAAATGTATATCGTCAAAAAAAGTGGGTTTTAGTTTAAGTTGTAAAATAAAATTTAAAGCCGGGCCCCGCTGGCCGGGCGCAGTCGAAGGCGGCTGGGCCTCGGCTCCTACGGAGGCCCGTGAGGGGCACGTATGGGTGGGGGAGGGGGGAAATCGCGTTTCGAATAACTCAGAAGTGAATGCAGGACTGTTACTGGTAGGAACGAAGTTGTAAACTGAGTGTACCAGCCTGCAATAGATTAATGTGTCCGTCCGTCCCCTTTCAATACTTTAACGAAGTGAAATCTCGTGCTGTTGGGTGTAAAATCAGCAATAGACAGCGCAGAGACTTGTCCTACCAGCCCACCCTGCAGGGACCTGTTACATTAATTGCACTTGTGGCAAATGATATGTTGGGCGAATGATCAGCACGAGACTAAAAGAACACCAAAGAAATATTAAATTATCCCAAATACAACGGTCAGCAGTGGCAGAACACACGTGCCAACAAAGACACTCGATTGCTTTTGATGATGTTGAAGTTCTGTACAAAACTAGCTACTACTGGCCAAGACTCATAAGAGAATCGATCGAAATTGAGAGAATTATCAAATAATACATTGTTTAAATGCATGCCTATACAGGTCACCATACATTGAACAATAACAGGTACTGCTATTTTAGTACACACAATCGACAGGAAGTACAAGAACAATGGGCTCCCATAATGCACTTGTATAATGTGCGTTGTTTACCACATAACCCAACCGGTAATGGATATCCATGATCATTTATATCCATGCATTAACACCCCCCCCCCTCCCCATATCGCTCAGGAAGTGCTCACAAGGGATGCCATCACATCTACCCCTCTGTTTAAGGAACGAAACAGGAGGATTTTTCCACAAATCTGGCTCTCACCTGATGAAGCTTGTTGTAATTACTGGCGAAACGTCGTACTCAGATTGTAAATGTTATGGCTTGGCTCTCCAACACCGGTGTGCTGTACTAGTGACGAATTGGCATAGTTCTGATTACGTGACAACCCTTACTAGTTGGCTGTGTCGGGTGGTGGCGGGTTTAACGACACATTTATATATTTACGCGATCTAACCCGAAAAAGCTGTACTATGGATGATATTGGTCGCGAAAGCCTACGTGTTTTATTGAATACTGGACTGTTAAATTATTTTTTTAGGTACGATTAAACTTTCTCAGTTATGGTAATAATAAAAATAAGAACAGATCGGATCAGATCACGAATATTTTGTACTGTGTTAAATCGAACCTGGATCTTGTGTTTGCTCATGATTTTGGAAATATTTTTGGTGACCCCTGCTATGTATGGCAAGGTGATGGTTTTGATTGGGTCCTCAGATGGTTCTCTCCCAACGGTTGGGGTGATAGCTTTACGGATTGTGTAGTGTGAATATCCATTCATCTTGAGGGCTTGGTGTACGTGTTCCAGTTCACTGGCTAGGTGGTGATTGTCGGAAATACAACGAGCCCTGTGGTGCAGAGTTTTGATGAGGGAATTCTTCTGGGCTGGATGGTGGTGGGAGTCAGGTTTTAGATAGGCATCCGTGTGGGTGGCTTTCCTGTAGACAGTGTCCCATTGAGCCATCTGCTCTATTTTCGATTAAAACATCCAAGAATGGTAACTTGCCAACCTTTTCCACCTCCATGGTGAATTTGATGGCTGGGTGTATGGAATTGATGTGGTTGAGGAATTGGTTCAGAGCTGGTCGGCCATGTGGCCAGATGACGAACGTGTCATCTACGTATCTCTTCCACAAGGAAGGACGTAGAGTGGATGCCTGGATGGCATCTGTCTCAAACTTTTCCATGAAAACATTGGCTACCACTGGAGATAAGGGAGAACCCATTGGTACCGTACCTTCAACTTGTTTGTAGAATGTTTTATTCCAGGTGAAGTAAATGAAGCAGTTCTCACCAGGGCCGGTAGATCAGCATTCAGTCCTTGTTGGACCAAATCTCCAATGACTGTAATGGTGTCAGGCACAGGAACTTTCGTAAACAAAGATACTACAGCGAAACTAACGAGTAAGTCACCTGGATATAATGAGATGGCCTTAAATTTCTATTTAAAGCTTTCGTGACTGCAAGGATTCATCTTCTTTGGTTCTTTCGGTAAAGTCACGTAGAATGAGAATAAAATAATAAAATAAAATAAGGCAATAAAATTCATGTCATGTGGTCGAGCACCAATTGGGTTGAGGCTCAAAAGAAAGCCGTCCCTTGGTGTGGACCAATCAGTTTCAAAGACAATGCATATATTATCATAGTATGTTTTTTGTTTGCATTTTGACTGCAGGTATTGTGGTTAATGCAGACATGAATCCTTGCAAAAAGGTTTCAGTTTTGTTGCCGAAAAAAGGGGAAAAACCCTATTATTACATTTTGGTACTGGCAAAGGAGGTCTAATGATGAACAAGTAGCCTTCATCAGGTGAAAGAACAGAACTGTCGGGTGACAGTTTACCGAAAGAATCAAAGAAGAGATGTCCTTAATTAACGATACCAAGTGAGCTGAGTTAAGTACAGCTGAGCTGGTCTTACCAGTGAATGGTTGTAAGGTCTCAGACAGAAATCAGGCCAGTTTGTAGGTGGGTGAGTCAATGGTGGAGACGAAAGGACGATGTGGTGTGTCTTCTATATGGATTTTTGGTAAGCCATACAATCTGGGTGAACATCTACATCATGAGATCTCCTTTGCAACTAACAAAATATGAGAATAGGTTTTTTTCCCCTTTTTTCTGGCAACAAAAAAACACCTTTTACAAGGAATCATGTCTGCATTAACCACAATACTTGTGGTCAGAATGCAAAAAAAACTATTCTCATATTTTGGTGCTTGCGAAAGAGATCCCATGATGTAGATGCTCAACCCGAGCTCTCATTACTCTGATAGTGGCATTGTCTTTGTGCTGTACGTCTTTTGGCGTTCTCTGGTCTAACACCGTTTGAGACGAGGCTCAAAAGAAAGCCGTCTCTGGTGTGGAAACAGCTTCAAAGACAATGCATATATTATCAGAGTATACTCTTTGGTTCTTTTGGTAAAGTCACGTAGGTAGAAAAAGAAAAGAATGATTTATTATGGATTCCTGCAGTCACGAAAGCTTCAAATCAAGATATCAGAGTATAAATTTCGATTGAAAGCTTTAGTGAATGCAAGGATTCATCTTCTTTGGTTCTTTCCGTAAAGTCACGTAGAATGAGAATAAAATAATAAAATAAAAAAGACAATAAAATTCTCACGACGTTTCGGCCACAACACAAGTAGCCCACTTCAGGTGAAGTAACAAAATTGTCGGGACGACAGAGCTCCAATGAACGGCGCTAAGATTCGCAGCGTCCTTTAAGCTGGTTGAGAGAAGGCACCTTGACAAAGGGGTTTACATATCAAACAGGAGAATTTAGCATTGAAATAGCTGAGGGATTAGCTTGTGACTGGTCACAGAAATAGCTGTGTTAAAGTCAAAGCCTACACATCCACAGAGGCATCTAGTACATATCAAACAGGAGAAATTTAGCATTGACATAGCTGAGGGATTAGCTTGTGACTGGTCACAGAAATAGCTATGTTAAATTCTCCTGTTTGATATGTACTAGGTGCCTCTGTGGATGTGTAGGCTTTGACTTCAACATAGCTTTTTCTGTGACCAGTCACAAGCTAATCCTTCAGCTATTTCAATGCTAAATTATCCTGTTTGATATGTAAACCCCTTTGTCAAGGTGCCTTCTCTCAACCAGCTTAAAGGACGCTGCGAATCTTAGCGGCGTTAATTGGAGCTCTGTCGTCCCGACAGTTTTGTTACTTCACCTGAAGAGGGCTACTTGTGTTGTGGCCGAAACGTCGTGAGAATTTTATTGTCTTATTTTATTTTATTCTCATTCTACGTGACTTTACCGAAAGAACCAAAGAAGATATCAGAGTATGTTTTTTGTTTGCATTCTGTCCACAAGTATTGTGGTTAATGCAGACATGATTCCTTGTAAAAGGTATTTTTTTGTTGCCAGAAAATAGGGGGAAAAAACAATTCTCAAATTTTGGTACTGGCAAAGGAGGTCCCATGATTTATATACTACTTATGATATTTCAATTAAAAACAAAGTATGACAAATATTCTGATAAAACTACCAGAACTCTAACATCTAAATGCCACCCTCCCCTCTTAAAAGAAACCCTTAAAGCTGCGTTAAAAAGTATTTATCTTCCGGTAATTAATAAGAATGTTGTATTACACGTACTGGTATTTAGAAAAAAGTGAATGCGTTTCGTCACCAGCGATGGGAGGCTGGGTGGTCCGCAGGCCAAACAAGTTTGAGAAATCACCGCATTAGACGCTCCATGAACCACGTGTTTTATTTTCTGAAACCAGAATTTCAGCAACCTGTGGCCACCTTATTAACAAGCTCCTGCGGAGGGCATCTCAACGCTCCCCCCCCCCCCATGTGTGCAGATGCTACTGCCTCTATTGTTGTATATCGGGTGTGTAGGCATATTCCTATAAAATAAATGTATTTTTTGGAGGGGGGTCGACAATTTTTGGTAACCTGTTGGATCAACTTTTTAACCCCATATCTGGGGGGGAAAAAGTCCAATTTCTATAACGTTTTGATTCAGGCCTTCTGAAAGGCTCTTATAATTTAGTTGACGGACAAATTGACAGACACACGCCGGGCTTTTATAATAAATTTTCTTGCGTACATGAGGATTTGCACGGGCAGAGTGCACGGCAGGGTTGCGATGCATGGGTGATGATGCGATTGTCGCGGTGCGTAAATATAATTCCTTTACAAGCCTCAAAACGGTTGTAAACTATTTAAGACAATTATATTAATGTTGAAATGAGAATTGAGCCCAGGAATGCATCACTAAGTGGATTATGGGTACACTGTTAATAAGAAAAGTTTGATTTTGTAATTTAATTCTATCAGGCTGCGTGATGTATAAAGAACGGTTTCCAACTCGTATCCAATCGCTGGATGAGTAGTATGTTCTAGACCAGTGTTCTTCATTGCAAGGCCCGCCGGCCACTGGCGGCCTTTAATGCGGCCCCCGACAAAACACAAATGTGAAAACACCCCCATCAATCGTCATGTAAAACCCCAATGGTTTCAAATGTATCGGCAAACGTGGCTCCCCTCCGAAAATGAGTGAAGAGCACTGCTCTATATACAATGAAGCCGAACCTTTGCCTAAA